AACTGAAAGTGTAAAACATGAAATTGCCCCATAAGCGCCCCAGACAGAGTCCAATGTTACATTGGGAGAATGAGGTTTAATTTTTCAATAGAGACACACAATCATTGATAATAGACATTCAAAATACACAGTGTCTCTCCCATCAGGGCTTTAGGAAGATGGTGCGTCACATGGTCATCCAATGGAGACTGTATATATATGGATACACTCACAGATTGTATGTGTAAACAGGAGCACATGTATAAAGTCTGATTTGTACCCCGCGGCTCGCGCATGCGGCGCCTCGCGCAGTACGGTGGCTCTCGCGATTTGGCGACCCCCGCAGTGCGTGGAGTTGCTCTCTTTGGGAGTCGCGCTCTGCGGGGGTCGCGCGCTTCGGGAATTGGCGCGGTGCGGGGAGTCGCCAATGTGGCGAGGGCCGTTCGACGCCGCTTGCGGCTTTAATTTATTGTTGTATCTTATATTTGAATCATGGTGAAATGTGAGATGTTCTTTAACGTTATTCATTTGGACGTCAATTGTTTTATTTCTATATCAGTTAAAGCCCCTTTTTCCTGCACTTTTAACCTAGTTTATTTCTGTACTGGTCTGGTGTACAGTGGGGACTTTTGCACATGTATTCTAATGTGGTTTTACTGCAAATGGCAAATAGAACTAATCTAAATCTTAATCTAAAGAAAGCACCTCTGTTATAAACTCAGTCTCGCATAAGATATTAGAGCCTTCAGTCCTCCCCACTGTGGGAAAGATAATCCACATCTGTAACAACACATCTGTACCAGAGCCAACCAGATGCTGCTCCTTTCTGTGTAAAGAAGAACCATGTGGACAGCTGCGATAATTTCACAATCCTTAACCTATCGCTCCAATCAGACCAAGAGGCAGGATTTCTTCGCAGCAAAAAGCAGTCTTGGTACTTTTGAACAAAAGATGAAAGAAGTATTCTAAAAGAGCATGGTTTAATAATACCTTTTGAAAAATTGGAGCCATATAATGATGACTTGACATGCAAATATTACATATTGCTACTTTAACTTCCCAAATTACATGTCTTTGAAAAGCAGATAGGTCAAACTCAAAAAGATAATTACTTTAATTCTTTCAGCCCTCACCCAGCCCTTATTTTTTTCATTTGGACCACGACCAAAATGAGTTTGACACCCCTGTTGTAAAGAATGAAAAAAAAATTGTCAGGCAAACACATTAAAACAGGTGTATGCCAAAAGTTTATTTTGGTTTTCTATTTATTTGGTTTAGATTTTTTTTGTAAATCACATTATTAATATTTTTGTTTTCGCTAAAAGAAAGTAATATGTTATTACACTTTCATACATCAGGTTTATTTTCATTTCGTCATTTTGTTATTTCAATAATTTGTGAGAACTGGGGACTACAATGGGTATTGTGTACATACATTGTTTTAATTGTATTATATGTTGTGTACAGCTGAAACCTGCACACATCGCTTAAAGGTTACGATAAAGACTTCCGACACGACAGGCTTGATGATGGAAGCGAGACATCAAAACACCATCCATTCACTCACTCCTTACATTCATATCTTTTGTACATGTTTTTAGCGGTAGGGGAAACCGGAGCACCCGGAGGAAACCTACGCAGACACGGGGAGAACATGAAAACTCCACACAGAAAGGCCATGTTCTGAATTCTAACCCAGAACCTTCTTGCTGAGAGACAAGAATACTATCCACTCAGCAACTGCGTCGCCCGTCTTTAATTGCTCATTCGATTTTGTCCCGTAGTTTTCATGGCGTTATAGTATGTTTACAGATCAGATCTGGGACCAGGAGATTGGAGTTAATTACTAAAGTCCCTGTTGCTAAAATCCCATTGTCAGTTGTTGGTGGACATTGGGGTTAAATGATCTCATGTTTTGGATAAATAGAGACAAACTATTCTTTGAAGCTCTGTCTGGGTCCCACGCCTCCAGCCGACTGTTAACAAACTACTAATGACCCTGAAGCTGTGGCGAGGAGGCTCCTATGTGTTCTGCCGGTCCCTCAAGTGAAAACAGTCACTGGCAAATGGACTCCTGCATGTGGGCAAACACAGCTCACAAATCTAGCAGCCATGGCACTTCCCTGGTGATGCCAGAGACAATTTGGCATTATTAATATGTTTTTGGGATAGAAAATGAAAATATGCAGAAGTTTTTGTTTGGAGTACCACGGAGATATTGATTCGGTGGAATTTCCGAGTTTAACAAGCAAAACTAAAAGTGAATAGTCTGCTACTTACTGGACTTTTTATGTGTCGCAAGAATAAAACTATAACTCATATAAATACAAGAAAACTCGGCCAGCCAGGTTGCTCTTTCTTTGTTTTTGCCTGTAATTTATTAATGGAGAAGGATAAAGGACACCTCATTAATTTTTTCTACAGGATCTTTGACATTGATATATTTCTGAATTTTCTTTATGCAAGCCCTCTTATTAGAATTAGCATTTTGTATATACTTTACATATACAGAATATATATTTTTCTTTAAACTCCTTTGACTTTATTGATCCCACAGAGCATTGGATTTTCAGCGATTCTCAAAGCAGTACACACACAGACACACAACAAACCAGCCATGATTCTACAGTTTTTTGTTTTTATCAGTGGATATTTCAGCCCCATTAAAACTCCAACTCATTTCATCAGCTCATTTTAAAGCTAAGAATCTAGCGGTTGCAATTCGATCCACTCTTCTGTCATGTATGAAAAGTCAAAAGTGCAAGACAAAGTTTACAATCTCATCTTGTTTTAATGTAATTCTGCAAAGAGAGCCCCATCTTCATTTTCAATGTATGTATGCGCTTCTTCAGAGTCCCAAATGATTGCACTGTATTACGAATGAGGTACTTGCAATACATGCTGTTCTTTTCTTTAGATATGATGAATAATTTATCACACACAAATCAACCATCTCTATGAAATGAGACAGCCCCTGGTCACTGAGCTTTATTCAATTATCAACCCAGCTGAAACAACATCTGTATCGGCTCAAAAAGTAATGTAATTGGTCGGTTCCCATTCAGACTGTAACACAAGTTTAGTGTAGTTCATTTAAAGACAATGTGCAGTTACAGTAAAAAGAGCATGCTACTTTCCATCTGTAGTCCTTGACAACACAATCATTAAACATACACATTAATATAGACACAAGTTAAACACCACCATTGGAATTGAACATCGGTCTGGATGGGTTTCCTCCGGGTGCTCCAGTTTCCCCCCACACCCTAATCATGTACCGTAGTTAACACCCACCAGCGACTGTCCCAATCAAGCTAAGCAGTGGGATCTAGAGATGGGACAATGGAATGGGTCAAATCCCACAATAGGAGCTCAGAGTAGTAATTGCATCAAGGGGAATCAGGGTGAGCTTGTGCATCCGTTGAAAGATATCTCCTCCCAAGGGATCACACATCTTTTAATGCATCACACAGTATAGAAAGATAAGACAATTTCAAGTCTGGCTTACAAAAGCAGCTGATAGGGCAGCTGGGTGGGGTCTGTTTGTGAGGAGTCACTGCCGTCTCCAAGAGGTCTGCTTACACCCTGGATTTTTAGCGCACAACACGACATAGGGTTACTGCCAACTCTGTAAAAATACTCTGCTTTCTTTTGCGGCCACATCTCTTTTTTGAGCGAAATGGGTTTACTCGGTACTCAGTAACTTGTTGTCAGTATATCTAAAATAATTATATGATGATGTCGTGTCTCTTGCTTTGTGGAGATCTGTCTTAACCAGACTGTTGTTGTGTCTCACTCTGGTAATGAGATGAAGAGTGTTTGTCAGTGAGGCTCTCTGGTCTCTCTCTGGTCAGCAAAGTCAATGTCATAACATATTCTTTACTGATTGTTGATTATTCTGTAATTCAGGATGTGCAGATATAGCTCTTTTGTTTGCCTTTATGTCCTGGTTCTGTTCTATTTTCATTATAATATGTAAAGTTTGATTGTAATTGACTTTGGGGGTGCGGTGCCAATAAGCTTTTTCCTTCAGCCCACTCCTTTTGTGCAGTATTACTACTGTTCAAATAAATAAGTAAATAAGAGTAGAGTTGCTGCTTTTCCATGTCAAGAGGAACCAGTTGAGGTGACTCAGGCATCTGTTCCGGATGGATATGTCCCATCCAGAATGCTGCCCCTGCAACCAGGCAAACAGAAAAAGCGTAACAAAATTGATGGATTGGTCAAATGCTGTAGCGGAGACAGGCTAATAATGCTTTATAGCTGTGAAAGGACAAACTGTTATGTAAACTGTGCTCTCATCATCGGCTATTGCTTTGCTTTGCTAATTCTTCACGCAACATTCCACAATTATTTCCCCTCCCATTGTAATGAGACTGGATTAGTTTAATCCCCACATCAAGACCAGCAGATATTAAACGCTCGGCCACTCATATTTCCTCCAATCTAATTTCACATAAATTAGGCTGAAGAATATTGAATACATCTCTTTGCCTTTCAGTTTACATGGTTGATATGAGGCCATTGTTTTTCACAAGGTTAGTTTTAATTGCGTTACATTTATGAAAGATGGATTACCATGCCGATATTATGTGACCAGTCTTATTATGCCTTTAATAATACACATTCTCAAGGTTTACACATTTCTCCTATACTTCTTATTTAGTTTAAAGTATGCCAAAGCCTTACCTCAATAATGCATCCATATATTACCTGCAGGGAGACTTGCTTCTGCTGGCACATTGAAAAGTGTTTTAGATGAATCTTTTCAAATGTTAAAATAGTACTAGAATTTTATTTTACCAATTGCAATTTTTGCAAGGTTAGAGCCATATAAAAATTGTGAGGAAAAAAATAAAATGGAAAAAAAATATATGTAAATCATTAATTTTTTTTAGAAATCACCCGTGTGATGTAGGTGAATGACATTCTGAATTTGACCATGCGCCTACGCTGTAATATACTTTACACTTACTCAACCACTTTTTTTTTAACTTTTCTTCGCCTTATCGCCAATAACGATGGGGAAAAAGTGCGTCGCTTACGGCTGTACTAATGTAAATGAGGATGGCGTGTCTTTACACAACTTCCCAAACCCTACAACGGAGAAGGAGCGATTTGACGGAACAGACAAGTCAAACGTACGCGTGTTGATTGGACCTGGCCTCCGCTCCCTGTCTGTCCGCTCACTGTCTGTCCGCTCACTGTCTGTCCCCTCCCTGTCTGTCCGCTCACTGTCTGTCCGCTCACTGTCTGTCCGCTCCCTGTCTGTCCGCTCCCTGTCTGTCCGCTCCCTGTCTGTCTGCTGCGTGTCTGTCTGCTGCGTGTCTGTCTGCTCCCTGTCTGTCCGCTCCCTGTCTGTCCGCTCCCTGTCTGTCCCCTCCCTGTCTGTCCCCTCCCTGTCTGTCCGCTCCCTGTCTGTCCGCTCCCTGTCTGTCCGCTCCCTGTCTGTCCGCTCCCTGTCTGTCCCCTCCCTGTCTGTCCGCTCCCTGTCTGTCCCCTCCCTGTCTGTCCGCTCCCTGTCTGTCCCCTCCCTGTCTGTCCGCTCCCTGTCTGTCCGCTCACTGTCTGTCCCCTCCCTGTCTGTCCGCTCACTGTCTGTCCGCTCACTGTCTGTCCGCTCACTGTCTGTCCGCTCCCTGTCTGTCCGCTCCCTGTCTGTCCGCTCCCTGTCTGTCCGCTCCCTGTCTGTCCGCTCCCTGTCTGTCCCCTCCCTGTCTGTCCCCTCCCTGTCTGTCCGCTCCCTGTCTGTCCGCTCCCTGTCTGTCCGCTCCCTGTCTGTCCGCTCCCTGTCTGTCCCCTCCCTGTCTGTCCGCTCCCTGTCTGTCCCCTCCCTGTCTGTCCGCTCCCTGTCTGTCCGCTCACTGTCTGTCCGCTCCCTGTCTGTCCGCTCACTGTCTGTCCGCTCCCTGTCTGTCCGCTCACTGTCTGTCCGCTCCCTGTCTGTCCGCTCCCTGTCTGTCCGCTCCCTGTCTGTCCGCTCCCTGTCTGTCCCCTCCCTGTCTGTCCGCTCCCTGTCTGTCCGCTCCCTGTCTGTCCGCTCCCTGTCTGTCCGCTCACTGTCTGTCCGCTCCCTGTCTGTCCGCTGCGTGTCTGTCTGCTGCGTGTCTGTCTGCTCCCTGTCTGTCCGCTCACTGTCTGTCCGCTCCCTGTCTGTCCGCTCCCTGTCTGTCCGCTCCCTGTCTGTCCGCTCCCTGTCTGTCTGCTCACTGTCTGTCCGCTCCCTGTCTGTCCGCTCCCTGTCTGTCCGCTCCCTGTCTGTCCGCTCCCTGTCTGTCTGCTCCCTGTCTGTCCGCTCCCTGTCTGTCCGCTCCCTGTCTGTCCGCTCCCTGTCTGTCTGCTCACTGTCTGTCCGCTCCCTGTCTGTCCGCTCCCTGTCTGTCTGCTGCGTGTCTGTTCTGAGCACTTCACCCAGGACTCGTTTGTACACATTAATTCGGTGGCTATAAGGACACGCCTTTACAGCCGTAGCCGCCAGTGACGTGCGTGAGGTTTGTGATTGGGGAGGCACTGACTTTAAAAGTCAGATTTATTCTAATATCATTATTATCGCCAATGCATAAACGTCCACAAACATTATATACTGTAAAGATAAGAAAACCAGCATATTATTATAAATCCCACAACAGCTCTCTGCTCCGCATCAAACCAAGTCTTGGGGAGGGAGAAAGAGAGATAGAGAGAGAGAGACACAAGGAACGAGAGAGAGACGCAAGGAGCGAGAGAGAGACGCAAGGAGCGAGAGAGACGCAAGGAGCGAGAGAGAGACGCGAGAGAGAGACGCAAGGAGCGAGAGACACAAAGAGCGAGAGAGACGCAAGGAGCGAGAGAGAGAGAGACGCAAGGAGCGAGAGAGAGAGAGACACAAGGAGCGAGAGAGTGACGCAACGAGCGAGAGAGAGACGCAAGGAGCAAGAGAGACGCAAGGAGCGAGAGAGAGACGTAAAGAGCGAGAGAGAGACGCAAAGAGCGAGAGAGAGAGACGTAAAGAGCGAGAGAGAGACGCAAAGAGCGAGAGAGAGAGATGCGAAGGCGAGAGAGAGACGCAAAGAGCGAGAGAGAGACGCAAAGAGCGAGAGAGAGACGCAAAGAGCGAGAGAGAGATGCAAAGAGCGAGAGAGAGACGCAAAGAGCGAGAGAGAGATGCAAAGAGCGAGAGAGAGACGCAAAGAGCGAGAGAGAGACGCAAAGAGCGAGAGAGAGAGACGCAAAGAGCGAGAGAGAGACGCAAAGAGCGAGAGAGAGACGCAAAGAGCGAGAGAGAGAGACGCAAAGAGCGAGAGAGAGAGACGCAAAGAGCGAGAGAGAGACGCAAAGAGCGAGAGAGAGAGAGACGCAAATAGCGAGAGAGAGACGCAAAGAGCGAGAGAGAGACGCAAAGAGCGAGAGAGAGAGACGCAAAGAGCGAGAGAGAGACGCAAAGAGCGAGAGAGAGACGCAAAGAGCGAGAGAGAGACGCAAAGAGCGAGAGAGAGACGCAAAGAGCGAGAGAGAGATGCAAAGAGCGAGAGAGAGACGCAAAGAGCGAGAGAGAGACGCAAAGAGCGAGAGAGAGAGACGCAAAGAGCGAGAGAGAGACGCAAAGAGCGAGAGAGAGACGCAAAGAGCGAGAGAGAGAGACGCAAAGAGCGAGAGAGAGACGCAAAGAGCGAGAGAGAGACGCAAAAAGCGAGAGAGAGACGCAAAGAGCGAGAGAGAGACGCAAAGAGCGAGAGAGAGATGCAAAGAGCGAGAGAGAGACGCAAAGAGCGAGAGAGAGACGCAAAGAGCGAGAGAGAGAGACGCAAAGAGCGAGAGAGATACGCAAAGAGCGAGAGAGAGAGACGCAAAGAGCGAGAGAGATACGCAAAGAGCGAGAGAGAGACGCTAGGAGAGAGCGAGAGAAACGCGAAGTTGCAGAACTCTTGAGCAGTGTTTAAATCAGTGTTTTTCGGGGAAGCACTTTTATGCAACTCTGGTAAATTTTCAATATAAAACACAGACACTGACATTTCCTCCCCGCGGCCGGACTAACCTCGTAAGTCCATGAGCAGCGGTGGTCTCTCAGTCTATATTACTTCTATATTACTTGAAAGTCCAGTTGAGAAAAAACATCTTTAATCAAATCATCCATTTTCCAGCAAAAGAAATAGCACCGACAGGACTGATTGTAGGTTAGCAAAACATTTACAGTCCATGTTAGCAACTCGGGTAGAACTTCATGCTCACTATCACTCCTAGCGGTGAGGCACAGATACTGCCTGCTTCACGCCAAGCTTGTTCCTTGTCTTTTCTTCTCCGATAAATAGTACACACATACTGTACGTGCAATACATTACTAAACACTATGACAAGTTTAACGAAAGGTTTTCAAAGCGGGATTAGAACCAAACAGTGATATATCAACCAGCACGAGCTGAGTGCACTCAGTCCACTGTGAGGGGGCGATCTGGGGTGAGGCATGTATGAGCGCTGCCGCACCTCGTCTCTTTGAATAGGAAAAACAGAATTTTAGCAATTTTGACTCCTAAAATGATCGCAGCTGGTCGGAACCAAGCCTAAAATACATTAAAAGCATAGGACAGTGAAAAACATTTATATATTACAGCAAAAATAATTATTTCGTTTTTTCTAATGATGGCAGGTGAGGCTCTGCCTCCCTTGCAACCCCACTGCAACTTTCCTTCGACACAGGCTGGTGTGTCAGAACCAGTGGGGGTGGGTCCCGGCTCCAAAAGGTCAAGGACTTAAGAAGACTTATTTTGATATTTAGTTTTGTCTAACATTCCTGTCTTCCCTGTGCTGAGAAAGCCTGTGGGAAAATGTCAACATTATTAAGAGTGTGTATTGTGTACCTGTGTCAATTCTCGGTCTTCAGACATTGCGTTAACATAGTCTATTGGCATTAAGTGGCCTTGTACTTTGGCCTTGTCTTCTCTAAAATGGTTTTATGTGATTTGAAGTTAACTTTTGTTTACAAGCCTATTTTTACCCTTTAATGGTTTCCTCAATCATTTGGTAGATCATTCTTTGAGTCACTTTTTCTACTTGAAGCTTGGAACTTGGGGCATCTCACTTGGTTTTAGGCACTTTTACCATCAAACTGCATTTCAATGTATATATATATATATATGTTGCAAACTAAATGGAGTGAACATAAAAGGGTTAAAATGTAGTAATTTTCTAATACTGCAAATGTTAATATTTATTAATTAATCAAATTTTTTGCCTCACATTTCAGTAAAGCCATGTCTTCCATTTATGTTTGATGCTGCTGCTCACGGCTGTAAGTCAGAGTGACACCAAGGATGAAAACACTTCTGTTGAAAAATATGAGATACACAGTCAAGATTTATGGCAGATTTAGGGAGTCACTCTTTTTCTAGCCTCGTCACGTCACCCCTGTTTGGCTTTGACCATTCATAGGGATGAGGTTGCAATGATTCTGTGCTATGCAAAGACAAAGGGCCATTTTCAAACTAAAGTGCAAACTCCAAGTCAGTTACAACACTTTTAAAGGCATTTTCTAAAAATTAAAACATATCTTGATGGTGTACGTTGTAGTCAATTTTGCATAACCTTGTTTTAACACTACCTGCAAATGTCAAATAAACCAAATTTCAAATCGATACTAGAGCTTGCATTATGTAAAGAATATTCACAATTAACAGAAAATCCCTTTAAATGAATTTATCTGTATTCTATTCTTCAAAGAATATTGTTTTAAATGCAGTATGTAAGCAAAATGTTTACCTTCTGGCCAGCAGGGGGCCCTATTCTGCTGGCAGACCATTATTCTGGTAAATAATTAAGTCAGGTTGTCAGTGATATCAGAAAATATTTGATTGTTGTGTCAAATGTGGTTAGTTTCTTTGCTCTGATCACTTGGAGTTTGAAATCTCACGAATCAGAACCATTTGGTGAAACAATCATAATCGAGCCATTTAAAAACACAGAAATATGGAATTCATGTACACTTATTATCCAAACATTGAAATGAGATCAGTCCAGCTGATATAGTCCATAAGAATAGATGGTCAGGCAAAGCTAAGTACAATGTTCTGATTTATAGGAAATTGTAAATGCACAGTATGTAGCGTTCTAAAGTTTCCAATGTGCGTAGCTAAAAGTAGAAAATTAACCCTTTAGGCCCCAAAGCAGCACAGACACAAACGTCTCCCAAATGTTTTCTTGCATCATTTGATGCCGTACTTTTCTCTAATAAGAAATGTCTCTGTTTTGCGTTCATAAGGAAATGTTGACATTTCATTGAAATATATTTTTACCTGCAGCAAATGTTCTTCTCTGAATATAAAGGCTGGAGAGGGACTCGGAGGGGAAATTTTGGAGATGGTGCAATCCAGTGTTTTTAGAGCAGTGCACTTCATCCCCAGAATCCTATTTTATTAGTATTTTTTCAAAAATTCAATTCAAATAACTTCTGTCCATCCATTCTGCTCTCTATGATCCCATTATCATGCACAGAGCAGTAGACTGAAGTGCGCCTGCTCTTTTCCTCATGTGTCTGCATCTGGGCTCGGGCTTTTTCATGTTTTTCATGGTTTTTGAAACAAACAAAAAATGGTTTTGGAAAGCCACTATTAAAAAACACAAATATTACAATAATGTATACCTCTTAAAGGCTCAACTTAGTTAAATTCAATGTGAATGAGACCAAAAAAATGACTTTCAATGATCAGCAAATGTGATTCCAAGTTTCAAGTGTATTTTTGTCACATACACAGTATACACAGTTAAGTACCTACTAGTATGTGTTTTTTAGTGCACAACAATGAATAAGAATAGATGCAGAGTTGAGGCTTGGTTTAACAGTCTTATGGTGCTTTCAGACCGCCAACGCTGAAACGCTGAAGCCCCGCTCAACAGACGCGCATTCTCTAGTTTTCAGACGCAGAGGTCTTTACACCGAAATGTCCTGACGCGCACCGGAAGTGCCGGAAGTAGCCGGCCCGCTCTGATGCTAACAGAGCTATGCTAGCGGCTTCTTGTGTACAGATCTTCTCCAATATGCAGCTTTGCAGCTTTGCAGCGTGACTTTCCACGGGCTTTATATACAGTAGTATGTGTTCACGGAGGTGCGCCATATTCATATTATTAAACGGTATTTCCGCATCGGTAAACACACTCGAAGCAGCTGCATAAGGTCACGGGAGCATGACTACGCATATTTTCACAAGCACAGAGTCCCCCATTGTCAACCCTGGTTTGAGTTCTGGTGAAGCCTGGTGTGGGTCCTGTTTTGGCTGTTCACGAGTATTTTTAGTCTGCTCGCTCAGTCCGCTAATGTCCCCGGGACCACTTTGAGGCTTTCTGATTGGTTGCCGCACGGAGGTCCCAAGGAAAGGATGAGCAGAATCCATCTCCTGTGGGCGTGGATTTTTCGCTCCTGCCCCTCCCCTTTGACTTTCCCGCCAAGTCCGTGCGTGTCTACTGAACAGTCCGTCCGTGTGTGCCGAGAGGTCCGTGCGTTTTGACGAACGCTCGTCACCATAGACTTTGCTAGACTTTGAAAGCCAACGCAACGCATGATCCGGTCTTAAAGCACCATTATGCTTTGTGGAAAAATCTCATCCTCTCAGTTTTTGCTTTGAGGAGAAAGCGCCTCCCAGACGGCAGCACGGTGAACAGCCCATGATCCTGTGTTTTTTTGGATTGTTCTCAGTATTATTAAGACTTTCAATCAGAGATAAGCAGTCATGCTCTTGACCAGATTCAATGACATACTATAGGGTTGATTGAACCACGTTTAGGTCCTATTTAAATTAGATTATGTCAATTCATTGGTGTTAACTTAACTTATTTTCCTAGAATAGAGCTGTGCTGACTGATTTGAAGTTAGTGAAATTATATCAACATTTTAAGCTTATCTAAGCAGGTTGCACAATATAGTTCAAGCCAAAAAAAGCAATTAAATCATGTGTAAATTGTTTCCAGGATTGTTTAAAGTTCATTTAAAGAATTTCTGTTTAAGTGTAAGAGAGGATGACACAAATCAATAGTATAAATAAACAAATAAATAAAAAAACGAAAAGATTTGCGCAACACCAGGCCGCAGTCAGGAGCTCGTGTATCGACTCTGATACTTGCGCCCGACGGGCTGTACAGAGAGAAACACAGAGGTCCTGACCTCATGAGCCTGAATGCTGCTCCTGAGGCCGTACTCTTTATGGAACAGAGCAGAATAATCCATCTGAGTGTCCATGAAGAACAGCAGATGACCACTGTTGCTGGGTCAGGGACGTCATACAAAATAAATCATACGACAGACTTATGGCATATTGGGACATCGTTCAGTCCCGCCAAGGATACACAGACTACAAAAGAGCATATGACCAGAAAGATGTGTTTTAGTGATGAAAACCTTGATATTACACAATTAATGATTTCCATGCTGTTTATAAACTTATCATTATAAAGAATACATGAGAAATGACTTGTAACTACTGTCGCTTGTACTTAAGCTTCACTATGTTTTCAAATGTAGTTGCCCTAAAGCTGGGGTACTTAATTTTCAATCCACTAACTGGTTCCTCTCTCACAACTTTTTGGTTCTATCACTAGTTTTCACATGCGTGTATTTTCTGGAACCTGACTCATCTTTAGATCAACTTTTTCCAACAAAATGTTAGTGAAACATTGAGAATTATCTCAAGCAGATTCCAGCATGCATCAAATAGTGACTCACAGGGCTCTTTCTTATAAGTATGTAAAGTAGGGATGTAAAAAACTATTTTCATGACCGACCACCGAGCCTCCTTAACCGGTTGAAACCGGTTAACCGCGTAGTTTAAAATAGTCCACGTTCTTTGAAATGACAGCCATTTCGAGCCGCGTACTTTTCATAAGTGCAGCTCTGCGTTCTACTGGATCAGAGCTGAGACAGCGGCGCCAAAACCTGCAACAGCTTCGGCACCTTTGCGCACAGAGAACTGCTTTTTTAATCTTTCCATTCTGCTGTGCTGCGGGTAAAAGCATTTTTAAGCAAAAGACGGCTCGTTCACATGGTCAAAGCAGCGAGTGACACGTCTCACAGGTCTCCGCTAAAGTTTAAATACAAGTGATGTGTGTGGAGCTGATGCCAAGGACCATAAACACAAACATGTTCCATGTGGTTTGACTGGAGCCGTGTATTTGCGAGGATTCTTTGAGCTGCGTGACACAGAGGAGCGCGACAGACCGGTATGTGTGTGTGTAATATACATGTATGTGTGTATGCGTATAAATATAAGACCCGCACCAGTGTGCAACTAGCAGACGGTAACAGAGGGGAGAGATGATGCGTGTGGATGTTACATATCGAAAGTGTGTGTGTGCTAGTGTGTCTGTGCGCGCGTGTGTGCGTGTGCGCGTGCATATGCGGCGCGTGCGGCGTGAGAGTCGGCCCGGAGTTTATAATACATGGGCGCACACAGCTAGATACAGACCCCCTTGTCACACAGTGCGAATAGGGCTTAAAATAGCGTTATGAAGAGACCTCCCCTCTCCCCCTTTTTCTCTTTTTTTACCGACAGCTTTGACCGGTTAACGCTGTGACGGTCAACCACCGGTTAAACGGTCACCGATTTACATCCCTAATGTAAAGATATCATGTTTTCTAATAAGATCTGCAGGGCTCAAGACTTGCGTTGCCCCGTTGTCATGGGGACGGTAACAAGTGAGCCAATCATCGGCGCTGATGCTCGTAATTGCGCGCATGCTCAGTTGTTTGTTTTCACAGAGCCTCCGAATCTGAACTGATTCGGAGGCTGAACAAAGAATTCTGAACATCTGCGCTGATTTACCCATTTATATACTGAACCTATATCCATAATCATTTATATACTGAACCTATATCCATAATCATTTATATACTGAACCTATATCCATAATCATTTATATACTGAACCTATATCCATAATCATTTATATACTCAACCTATATCCATAATAATTTATATACTGAACCTATATCCATAATCATTTATATACTGAACCTATATCCATAATAATTTATATACTGAACCTATATCCATAATCATTTATATACTGAACCTATATCCATAATCAGATCCTCTGCAGATATGTCCTATAATGTTCAATTAATGTTAATTTTTCCGCAATCGCTTTTTTTGTGCATTAAAACATTATTTTTATCATGAAAACGTTAACAAATAATTCTGAAAACCTCTGTGCATGTTTATCAATAATGTATATGTATAATGAGTTCTCCGATTAACATTTAAATGTGTTGATTGATTGTTACGGAAACGTGGGCGTAGACCAATCAGAAAGGAAGGGGGAGGGAGCTTGGGTTGTTTTTTTTAAATCATGTACCTCTCCCTTTTTCTGACAAACTCCAGACAATCACTTTAATCACAGTCTGTGAAGGATGGCAGCCTGTTGGTAACGAGTGATCATTACAGCTTTTTGAATTCTATCACGTTGCTCCCAGTGCTAATGGTGAAGCCTTCTCCCTCTAATGCTGCAGAATGTACAAATGTGTGATTGGAACAGAAGCAGATCTGATCCCGACTGTTACATGAGAAACACCAGTTAAATACATCATTAACTTATGATAGAAAAGAGGGGGTTTGTATCAAAATGGTCATAGATTTGTGCAGCTATGGTCTGGAATACTGTTCCTGAACATGTGAGACAGGCCTCTTCTCTTTATAATCAGAATCAGAATCAGAATCATTTTTATTGCCACGTAAGTAACAGGAGGTCACAGACTAGGAAATTGCTTTGGCTCAGTGCAACAGTCAAAAAGAGATAATAAAAATAAGAATAAAAAACACTTCTAAAGAATAAATTTAAATTTAAAATAGAGTTACAGTTACTATTTACAATATACAAGTGCACATGGTGCACACAATGTAAGGTGACAGCAGTACAGTGAAGTAAAGTGACGTATGATGGGCAGTAAAGTGACTTTATAAAGGGCGGGGGGACAGGTTAAGAAGTGTTCAAGAGTCCAACAGCAGAGGGGAAGAAACTGTTCTTGTGGCGGGAGGTTCTAGTCCTGATGGACCGCAGCCTCCTGCCTGAGGGGAGTGGTTGGAATAGTCCATGTGCAGGGTGAGAGGGGTCGGCTGTGATACGACCAGCCCGGCCTCGAGCTCGGGCGACGTACAGGTCCTGCAGCGATGGAAGGCTGCGGCCGATCACTTCCTCTGCAGAGCGCACAATGCGCTGTAGTCTCTGTTTGTCCCTGACTGTGGCTCCAGCGAACCACACGGTGACGGAGGAGGTGAGGATGGACTCGATGATGGCCGTGTAGAACTGCACCAACATCTGTGCAGGCAGCTTGGCTTTCCTGAGCTGCCGCAGGAAGTACATCCTCTGCTGGGCCTTCTTGATGAGGGAGCTGATGGTCGGCTCCCACTTGAGGTCCTGGGTGATGGTGGTGCCCAGGAAACGGAAGGACTCCACAGAGGTGATGGGGGAGTCCATCACGGAGGGTGGGGGTGGGGGGACAGTGCTCTTCCTGAAGTCCACAATCATCTCCACTGTCTTCTGGGCGTTCAGCTCCAGGTTGTTACCACTGCACCAGGACACCAGCCGGTCCACCTCCCTCCTGTAGGCGGACTCATCGTTGTTGGAGATGAGTCCAATGAGGGTGGTGTCATCCGCGAACTTGATCAGCTTCACGGAGTCGTGGCTGGAGGTGCAGTGGTTGGTGTACAGGGAGAAGAGCAGGGGAGAAAGAACACAGCCCTGTGGGGCTCCTGTATTTATAATCCGAGAGTCCGAGACATTCTTCCCCAGACGCACTCGCTGCTTCCTGTCTGTCAGGAAGTCAGTGATCCACCTGCAGGTGGAATCGGGCACGTTGAGCTGGGAGAGCTTGTCCTGGAGCAGGGATGGCAGGATTGTGTTGAAGGCAGAGCTGAAGTCCACAAACAGGACCCTGGCGTAGGTGCTGTAGGATGTGGTGGAGGGCCAGGTTAATGGCGTCGTCTACAGATCTGTTGGCTCTGTAGGCGAACTGCAGGGGGTCCAGGAGGGGGGAGGTGAGGGACTTGAGATGGGAGAGAACCAGGCGTTCAAATGACTTCATGACGACAGACGTAAGTGCTACAGGTCTGTAGTCATTGAGTCCTGAGTTATAATTGAGACAATTGAGACAATTTATAACTCAATTGAGACATTGAGTTATAATGTACTGTGGTTATGTTTAGTACTAACGACCAAACTTTAAATCGGTACTCAAAACCCATCCGTACAAACAAACTTTTCCGCAGTACTCTGACAATTTAATTTGTTTGTTTTTCATATTTTGTGTGATCTTAGTGGTTGTTTTTAATGTCCTGTATTTATTTTTTGATGATAATGCCTCTTGATAGGAATGGGGACTTACAAATAAAGGTTGATCAATTGATGAATATTTGTGTTTGGTATGTAAACTATAAATCATTTGCATTGTTCACATTGCAACGCTACTACTGAATGTCATCATGCCTACTTCATTAGTCGGTTATAAGACAATCCTGGTGGTTTTGTTGGACTAGTTGTAATATTTTAATCTCATATCGTATAATACATTTGGGATGGAAACACTATTCTTGGGATGATTTGGTTTCATTTTTTTGGGACAGCTTCGGGACGGTCCCATGAAAAGGTCCCTGAGCTCAAAGATTGACTCATTTGGCTACAACATGTCAGTTACTTATGTGCTGTAGGAGTGGCTCGGGTTATTACTTTGTGTCCATCCTTGCGCTCCTGCCGACCTGGTTCGTCCTTATCTTCCCTAACAACCGACACAAACATCAGCCCAAATTGGTCGCGTGTCAACAATGGTCGAAGTGATTTTGGAGAGCGGTCATTATGAGGAAAATCCATGAGTCTGCCGAGGCGGTGAAGTGTGTGGGTGGACAATGGTGCAATGTGCAGGTGTGTTACTGTGTTTGCATGTGGTTAGGTCTGTCTATACCGGCAGTTAGATTTGATTGAATAAGTGGCGGGCACAATTACCATAACTCCGCTGCCAAGAATCTGGAGTGTCTCCTCTAGGCATTGAACGAACTCGCCTGTTTGCATAATACATGTTTTGTGGTTCTAAAAATGACTGGGTTGTCAATGCTCACGTTATTTATACGTTTGACAATGTAAATGTACGGTGCAGACAGTCCACCACAGGGCTGTAGTTGTATTGTTTTGACAATTGGCAGATTATTATTCTGGTTAAACAATTGGTTGTTTGGATCCCTACTGGTCAGTGAATATATGTTTCCAAGACAAGGCTCAAGTGAGATTGTCTAGTACAGTCTTTCCAATGTGGTTTTACTGCAAATGGCAAAGTCTTGAAGTGATGCCCTCAATTGCAGAACATTCATTCATTTGGGTTGTTGGATTAAAAAACTATTTCATTTCATTCTGCAGTCATTATGGAATGATCTGTGTCATTAAAAAAAACCTTTTCTAAGCATGTTTAATTGTTTTTTGAACATCTCATAAAGTAATTAGTTGTGATGATATTTTACTCTGTTTACTGTATTGAGACAGACTTACAGATGATTTAACAACATTTTCAAACCTGATTGTGTTTAAAAAAAAGGGTTTTTAAAGAAGTTCAGAACAAGTATGTGGGGGAGTGAGTGAGTAGTGGTAGAGAGGTGTAGGGCCAGAGAGTGGTTGGGCCTGTGTCTTGTCATATATGCAATTGTATAATGTTGCGGTTACTGTATTGCAGGGGTGCTCACACTTTTTCAGCATGCGAGCTACTTATAAAAGGATCAAGTCAAAATGATCTACCTACTACAAAAATGCAAATGATATATTTATTTCAAAAAATATTCTTTATACCTACAATGTATGTTTATGTACATGCAAAACCGCATGAGCCAATATAGCACAACACAACACAATTACCTATGTACATTTTTTGTCATTACCCGAGTTTACTCTGATGACTTGCACTGAATTGAATCGGCCAGGGATGCATAGTCCGGAAAATTGGTGGTAACTCGCTGACAAGTTTATCATGGTTTAGCTTTCCTGCACTGAGCGTGGTTGTTTGCGCATGTGCAGTCACCTAAGTGTCAGTAAAACATTACTGAGTAAAACACAGATGTCATTTGACTGTGGTGCCATGTCCATGTGCCATGCCTGTTTTTTTTAAATCCAAATATTTCCCCTCCTCAGTTTATAAAATAATTTGCATCCACACATCTGCGTTATCAATCACATTCGTAACATTCCAAACATGTGCGTCTCTTACGTCCTGTCCTGCGTTGGGGAAAAACACAGAAGTGGGCGGAGCTTTGATGCAGACGCCGGTAACGGCACTTTTACAGTCATAGAAGACACTCAGAGTAAAGACGTATGTTTACAAGCACTGACCCCGTCCTCAGCCCTGGTTTAGTCCTGGTTTAGTCCTGGTTTGGTTGTTTTCGAGCGTGAGTCCCCGCGATCACTTTGCTGCCCTCTGATGTGGAGGATGTTCGCTGCTGCGAGCATCTCACAGCGAACAGTTTTTAAGGTAGTATGATCCATGCTTCAGTGATCAGAGGAATTTAGGGGGGTACTGTGTCGTGCGAGAACGCAAAACTCCGGTTATCTCTGTCTACACACAAATGCATTAACGGAGTTTTCAAAAATCTCCACTTTGCCCGGAGTTTTTTGTATATATTCGTTTAGAATGTGTAATTTTTTATTTATTTAATGCGATCTACCAATACTACCTTTGCGATCGACTGGTAGATCGCGATCGACGTATTGAGCACCCCTGCTGTATTGCTTTGGTGTTGTTCATTGTTTTTGTTTCAAATCATCTGCCTCTGAGTCGTCTGAATTTTTGTAAACGTTTGGTTCATCAAACCCTTTTCAAATCTGTCTCTTATTCTGTTATTTTGTTCTTGATGTAGATTTTATGCAGGTTTTGAAACAAACTTCTAGTAGTAGTAATAGTAGTAATAGTTATTTATTTGAGAAGTTAAAAATGTATATTTAAAGGTACATATAATTTCAAGAACAAAGCTCAAAAGTAGAAAGCCAAATCAAGAAGCTGTATGTGCCTTCCCCATTTCCAATACTACATGGATGAAGATTTTCACATGACTTTCCTGATTTTTACCATCATCATCAATATCTTGTTGACGCAAACAAAAAAACAGCAATAGCTATCAAACTATGTTCAATTTTTCACCGCCATCATAAATATATATTGATTGATTGGTTACTTGAATAACTTGTTACAGCCCTACAGTCCACATGTTTTTGCGCAACTAAGTTAATTCTGTTTTCTAAGTCTTCCAACTTGACATTAACTAATTTTGAGGTGAAGAAAATGCTTGATGCTCCAATTGAATGTACAGAGATGTATAAAATTAACTGAGTATGAAAGATCTTGTTTGTGCTTTCAGGGCTTTATATGGATGGACGTTTCTAGTTTAAATGATAGACCTTGTATCCAGGCTGTGATTCTTTTGACAACCATAATGAATGGAACCAGGAACCATCTGCTTCAATTGTTTGTGAAGGCGACAGAAATGATTACTTCTCAGGTTTGAGGAAAATCATTTACTTCAGTAGGAAAAAAAAAGACAGTGATAATATCCTGCCAGAACCACTTTTACAGAAGAGATGTGTTCATTTTGCTGCAATTGTCTGGATTTTTGTCTTGTTCACCTGGAGCCGCACTTTTCAATCTAGTAAGATAAATGTGTAAGGTGAATTATGTGTTCTGTGAGGTCATGTTATGTTTGTGTGTGGTTCAGAGGCCAAACATTGTTTAACACCACAGAGACGACTGCTGTTATTAATTAGGGCTATGCAAAAACAAATGTTATTGAATTTAATTGGTAGCTTTTTGCTTGAGCTGGGGTACCTAACTATATATTAAATTGTTTGTCCAAATTGGCTTGTAATTTGCATTATTATTATTATATGGAATAATTGGCCCCTGCAGAGAACATATTCATAAAGATGACTTTATTGACATTAGGTTGTTTGATACTGATACAAACTTTCATAAAACCTTTTTTCTGCATGTTTAAAGCAAGGCAAGGCAAGTTTATTTATCTAGCACAATTCATACACAAGGCAATTAAAAGTGCTGAACAAAATAAGAAAGCATTGAAATCATAAATAATCACAGAACATTAAAAAGAAAGATTAAAATATAAAATACCTCAGTTGTATGCACAGCCAAACAGAACTGTCTTTAACCTGGTTTTAAACATTGTCATTGAGGAGGCCTGTCTTACATCTTCAGAGAGATTGTTGCAGATTTTAGCAGCATGAATCTGAAAAGCAGCCTCCCCATGTTTAGTTCTGACTCTGGGCACTAACAGGAGTCCAGTCCCTGTGCTCCTCAGAGTCCGGGCTGGTTCATATGGGACTAACATGTCACCAGGGCTGGACTGGCCATCGGGCGTACCGGGCAATGCCCGAAGGGCCGATGCCCATATTTGGGCCGGTCTGTCTGCCTCATACAAAAAACATGTTTGTGAAAAGTGTAAATCCGTTGAGAAATGTTCGAGGGGAGCGCGCGTGTCCGCGGAGCACCTGCTGTATATACTCGAACGGGATTCCACCACCTCAGCGGCCACAGTGTTCCCGCATCCAGCAACTCTGAGCTGGACGCAGGAGCCGCTCACCGGGAACCGCTCACAACACAACACGGTGAGCGCGTAGCCGCAACGTGGCCATGTACCCAAGACCATAAACGCGCACAGGACCATGCATGTCTTTTCGTAATTTGTGCACCCAATAAACACACCGCTGCAGAAAACAGTCCGCGTCTCCCCTCTCCTCTAAAATAAAGCTCGGGTACCTAAATTTTCCATTGCATTAAAAGTTCATCTTTGAGCCCAAAAGTAAAATGGTGTGAACAGATTAAACAGATTTAGAGCCAGCCAATGGCTGACAATATGCATTTCAGAATTTTTACCAATTCTCATCCCTGTAACAACCAATATTGTCTGTGCCCACCTCCCTCACTCTGAGACATGTTTATTACTCTGTTTAATGTAGACTATTGTACTTTATTTTATTGTTGAAACTGGAGAGATCCTGATCCTCTACAGTATTTGCTTCCACATACTGTATAAACCAGGGGTCGGCAACCTTTAGTGCCCCTAAAGTGGCTCCTGGAGCCTTTTCAAAAATGAGTGTGAGGGCTATATTTTATTTCTAGTTTCAATGTGGTTTGTGTAGGAGGAAAAACCTTCTTAACGTTTTTCAATTCTGCAAAAACTTGTATAAGTAATATTCAATTTTAACTGTGTGTGCGCATGGATCCCAAAGATAAAGAGAGTCGATAAGACTGGACTAAGAATGAGAATGAACATTTGCTTTCAGTCATTGAGGAAGGACTGCTTCATGTTTGCGATGTAATGAAAAGTTTTGTTGCAACAGAAGGAACAATGAAGCTTTAAACACGTTCACTGAAAGATTCATTCATCATAAAGTCAGAGCACCTATTTTCAGACTTCAAAAACCTTCGCAAAGACGGTGAAAGAAAAGGCCATTAAGGACATTCAGCTCCAGCAAACTTCAGCCTGTGATCGATATGAACAGACAGAGATGCAGGTGAACTCGGAGCCAAAAAACAGATTTATTTACTGTATTTGTACAATTGCAAGAAGGTTAAACTTAAAGCAGAGTTGTCACGTGGTGCGTCATTCTCTCCAGGACACGCTGCAATGAAAATACACATTTGATAATCATGAATGGTTTTTATGTGTTTAGCCTTTACTTTGTCATTTAGATATTAGTCTAATATAGCTAATATAGCTAATGTAGCTAATACAGCTCCAGCCCCTGTACCTTCATATAAGCCTTATACAACGCTGTTTTTTTATTATTTTTTTTTGTCAAATAGGGCTCCTTGAACCTTTTGAGTTGCCTGGGCTGCTAAAAAGGAAAAAATGCCCGGGCCGTTTTTTTGTCCCAGTCCAGCCCTGCATGTCACTAATATAGTTTGGTGCGAGGCCATGGAGAGACTTGTACACAAGCAGAGCTGTTTTAAAGTCTATTCTCTGAGCCACAGGAAGCCAGTGCAGAGACCTGAGGACCGGACTAATGTGGTCGTACTTCCTGGTTCTAGTCAGGACTCGAGCTGCTGCATTTTGAATGTACTGCAGCTGTTTTACAGCCTGTTTGGAGAGACCTGTGAGCAGGCCATTGCAGTAGTCTAACCTACTGGAGACAAATGCATGGATAAGAATCTCCAGGTCTGCTTTAGATACTATGTTTTTGATCCTGGTGATGTTTTTTAGATGGTAAAAAGCTGCTGATGTTACTGATTTGATGTGGCTGTTAAAATTTAATTCTGAGTCCAGTATTACCCCTAGATTTCTGACCTTGTTTGAAGGTTTTAGGGAGAGAGACTGTAGGTGACAGATGACGCTCTCTCTTTGTTTCTGGGGACCAAAGACAATCATTTCAGTTTTGTCTGCGTTTAGCTGAAGGAAGTTGTTTTGCATCCACTCACTGATCTGTTGGATACAGTGAAGGAGTGAGTCTACTGGTCCATGTTCTCCTGCAGTCAGTGAGACATAGATCTGAGTGTCGTCTGTATAGTTGTGATAGGACACTTTGTTTCTGCGTATTAACTGACCTAACGGCAGCATGTAGAGATTGAACAGAAGAGGTCCCAGGATCGACCCCTGTGGTACTCCACAGGTCAGGGCCATATGATCTGAGACACAGTTTCCAATCTCCACAAAGTACTTCCTGTCCTCAAGGTAAGGTAAGACCTAAACCAACTTTAAGTCTCTGTGAGGTATGAAAAATATGAATCGATGATCAAATATCTTCTCTTTTTATAATTTAAAATTGTCCATGTGTATAAGAAAAAGCCTTTTGAGCCACTATATGCTTTGGGCTGAGAGCTGCTTGATTGAATGAGGGTTGCTCGCTATCATTTTGGTATTCTGTCTGGAATAAGCTGATCTACAGATGTGACAGGGGCTCAAGAGAAAAGGTCATCTGAGTGAAAACAAAACTCGAGAATGAACCAAGCTGTTTCTGATGGATTTTATACTTAGTTCCCTCTTTGGTGGTTTGAAAGTTAGGTACACCGGCTGCATAGGACAGTGTGTTGTGTCTGCACTGCCCAAATATCAGTGACTTCCTCATTCCACATGGCGTCCGGTCAGGCCCTCTGCTCTCCCGGGCCGCTGTGCCCTGGTGCCAGCTCCACTGATATTCTGGATAAAAGTGGTCTGTGTGCAGAGCCGCTGAGGGGTCAGGCCTGAGCTGTGAAGCCCACATCTGAGCCTGCTGACTGATCATGACCTCAATCCCACTCACATTTGGGTTATCCCCAGGAAATGAGAAATAACAGTGACACCAGAAACAGGCAGGGAAGATGTTTCTGACAGGTTTTTGACATCTCAAACTTTTCAAGGAGTTTCTGATGGTTCTGTTTTGTCAGATGTGTGTTAAATGCAAATACTGTAAAATTAAAAGTTGTCTATAGATAGCATTAGTGTTGTATTTTGATTCTAGTAGTATGTAACTAAGTAATCTTTGCTTATATAGTGCCTTTTACAGAACAGAGTCACAAAGCACTTTAGAATTGTTGTTGGCATGAGCTGGGATATCATAATCATATCAGACACAGGGAGAACATGCAAACTCCACACAGGAAGGTGGGGAGGTGGAATTGAAACCAGGATCCAAGTGCTTATTACTGCGCCACACTCCCGACTACTACACACACGCATGATGCTTGACACAAATTTTACTACCACCGTGATTATTTATAAATGCTCTTTTTGAACAATAAACTGTAATTTTTAACTCGAAATAATACTTGTTTAAGGGATGGTTTTATAGTCCGTCTGTTATTGTACAAATCTGATTTCAATATCAAAATGGGTTCTGTTTATATAGTCAAAAACAGTATTAATACTTTTTTCAAACTAGTTTCAGTATTGATAATATGTGATTTTTTTGAAAACTTTTGACAACTCTATATTGTACGGGTGGTCCAATAGTCCAATTGTACAGATTGTCCAAAGTGTTATTCAAAGCTGACCGTTTTTATATTTGAACCACCACAATAGCAGATTTGTCTGATTGTGCAGATAAATCCAACATGAGTATTTTCTATTGATATAAATAATATGTTGTGTTATCATTAGAATTTTAGTATTGCTATTTTAATAAATACAAATTTCTGTGTTTTGTTTGATAAAGGGCTATGAATCAAACGTGGTAGCAAACACATCCATAGATAGAGAGATGGTGAACTGCCCTAGAGGTCCAGCCGCTGAGGTGACGGAGAAGTGGTGTCAAGGCTCAGAGAGGTACCTGATGGTGGGTGAGTGGGAGAAAGTGGACCACCCTGCATGTCCCCTGAATGATGAGAATGATGCCCGGCGGTGGCCCAGAGGGAGTCACAGGAGTAATACCACGTCTGGCGGAGGCTCCATGAGTGGGTAGAGGTCAGCAGTGAGCAGCAGGCATGGCCAAAGAAAAATAATCACCTGATGAGTGCGGCACTGTGCAGGGAGCAGATGTGGAAAGGCCAATCTGTCATGGATCAAAGAGGAGGATGGACCCACAATGCAGCACTGCAAATGAAAATGTGTTTAATGAAGGTTAGAATAGAAGAAAGTCCAGGGTAAAAAATGAATGCAAAAATCCCCAAATATTAATTGAACATCAGGAACAAATTTAACAGAATATAGAGAAAGGAGGTGAGAGCACATGTGGGGTTTAAACATATACAGTAGATTGCTTCTCAAAAGTACTAATACACCTTTTGCACTTTTGTCATATTTACTGTAAAACCATAAACTTAAAGGTTTTATTTTGAATTCCTAATGCCTGCTGAATGGACCTACCTTGCCGTAACAATTAAGTAGAGTCCACCTGTGTGCGATCTGCTCTCAGTATACCTACAGCTGTTCTGCGAGGGCCTCAGAGCTATGGTCAGAGTGGTTTGGTCACTAAACATCAGCATCATGAAGGCCAAGGAGCACACCAAAGAGGTCAGGGAAAAAAAAAGTTGTGGAGAGATTTCAAGCATAGCAAGGTTATACAAACAACTTTGAACATCTTCCACAGCATCTCCCTGTCGTCTGGGAATTGAAAAAACACGGCACAACTGCAAATCTTGCTTGGCTGTCAGCTCGAACAAGGAAAACACTTGTAACTTAACTCCAAAGTTACACAATGGTAACTTTGGAGGTGCTGCGGACATCCGCAATTCAATCTTTAATTCATGGCTGAAAAGATGACAAAATGTGCAAAGGTTCAAGGTGTATTAGTACTTTGGAGAAGCACTGTACACAATGACAAAGGTGAAACACAGACGATAAACAGGAAGCACAAATAGGACCAGGATGGCACAAATATCTCATGAATTAAATAGAATTCTTCCTAGGATTCCTCAAGCAGGATTTCCTTACTAATTGCCAACCTGTTCTGTAAATATCAGAAGATCAGATTTTTAAAATAATTTTTGTTGTGTAAAAGGACGCTGTACCTGACACAATAACAACAAAATAATACTACTACTACTAATAATAATAAATATAATAATAACAATAATAATACATATAAAAACAACTGTTTTGATTGGAAAATTTAAACCACATTTTTCAGGACTAAAATCTTTCTTTGCCAAGAGTCACATGAGTGACATATGCTGGAGAAACTGTGGATTTGTCGGTGATCAAACTCATTTATGATGAGACTCTCCCACCATACAAACATTCCGGGAGGATGTTAAGGGCAATTTGGAAAAAAATCTTAACCTGAACATCTCTTTGTACCCCTAAATATTTTGACTGGACATTTTTCCAGATACTTTCTCAAGACCAAGCATCTCTTCTCCATCTCCTCTTAATGACTGCAAGAAAAATAATAACAATCTGTTGGTTAAAACACAATGGATACAAAAAACAAGACAAGTTAATTTAATGGAGCGGTTGACCCCAGTTTTTGAGAGGATTGGGACCGGTTATTGATTATCTGAAGTAGGACATACCCCTAACCTTAAATATGTTGTTTCTGAATGTAAATGTAGGAAGCCTAATTTGTGCACAACAAAGTTCAAGTTCAAGTAAATACATAAAAAGACACTAACTGTATATTAGACACATTTAAAACTGAAACACAGAGCTAAAAAGATGCAAAGTGAAAGAGCAACCTTCTAAGTGACAACAGCCCGCGGAAGGAAGCTATTTGCATGATAAAATGTCTTGCATATAACTTCTGCCAGAGGGAAGAAGCTGGAACATGGCCTTCCCTGTGTTCCCAGGAGTCAGTGATAATTTGATTAATTCATAAAGAGCCTGGAGAACAGGCTCATGTTTAGTTAAATCACAAAAGTCATGGTTTGTGCAGTGAAATATAAAAATCCACATTATGCCACGATGACATGTGCACTTCGAGCTTGTTCTGTGTATTTTTGAAACTTCCGCAGTGGTCTCTGGTACATCGGTTTGTCTCGCCATCATAAATCCTGGTGCTTTTTTGAGTGATGTGGGCAGTGTCTTGGCGTAGTGACAGGGCCCTGGGAGGAGGGAGTTCCAGCTGTCAACGCAAGAGATGCCGAGTTTAGTTCAGTTGAGACAAAGCCAGGCTCCGCTGTGTCCTCCTCTGTAATATAATCAGTGTTATAATTTATGGCCTCGGAGTTCACCAGCCAGTAGCTCACCACTGCAGCCTCCCAGACAGCGACACTCCTAGATTAATGAGGCTTTCTGGTCTGTCTGCTTTGACTTTCAGATTAATGTCTTCAAATATATATTATTCAATATACAGTTTGTTTATTTTGTGAGATTAAATACATTGTAATGAATATATCTGTTGTTGCAAAGTCCAGAAGTTTCAAGATTCATTTGTTACTGAAATGTGTTTTCATTATTTAGACAAAAACCTGTGGCTGTTTCACACTGCATAGGACTGAACCACATCAACAAAACTTCCCATCCCAATGTTCATGCCAGAAACTTGGCCCTCATATGATTGTTTTTGGCTTCAGCTGTCAATCCACTGCAGACATGGCTGAAATGGTTTGGTTAAGGAACACTTTTTACACTTTTCAGGAGGAATTTACCTATTGTACATGTTTGTTGTACTTGGGGAGACCATAGCACCCAACAGGAATCTACTGGGATTTGAACCAGGACCTTCTTGCTCAGAAGCGAGAGCACTAAACACTGTGCCACTCTGTTGTAATGGTGCCCTCAATAGCTATTGTGAACACGTATGTATATATAGTACAAATGATTTGTGCTAGAAGGTAGGGCTGGGCGGTATAAACGGTATAAGCGGTAGACGGTATAAATTTGGCCCACGGTAGAGATTTTTGTTATACCGGCATATTGCGATACGACATTATGTCATTAAATTGCGCAGGCTCTGACGCCAGCAGAAAGGACCAAAACAAACCGGCATTCAGCAGCATTAGCCTAGCACTATTAGCCTAGCACATTAGCCTAGCACTATTGGACACCACTGGAAACAACGAACAACAGCACGGCATTAACACCGTGTTTCTGTCTCTGTATTGTTGTCACAGCGGCCCCAGCAGAGGTAAATACACACACAGTAATCACAGTTTAAGCGTCTACCTTTTGGCCAATCGGTGTCAAAGGGGCGTAGGCTCGAAGCGCCAGCGTGAGCCAAAATAGATCCATGTGCCGTGTCCGCAGCAGCATCACATCAGAAGTTTGGGAAAGTTTGCGTCAGATTCGGACCTCCGCGGTCAATATCTCACGAAAGCTACTTTGTTAAACAAAATTATTTGTGCCAAAATGATCATTTACATCAATTGTTCAAATCCAATGCGCTGTTTTAATGAACATAAAATCCATTGAATCATCCAGCGCAGAGAAAAGCGCTTAGGGAGCGTCAACAAATGGCAAGACCAGCTTTGTAAACAAACAGATTTTACTGAAGTCATGCACCTGCACAAAACTCTCAGACACTATAAATAATGACCATGTCTAACTCCTACAGACTTTGTTTTCATCATTTGTGAGTTTTTTATATTTTAAATGAATGCATATGTTTTTCTTTTTAAAAATTGCTTTTACAGTGAATGGTATTTACTGTAACATACATAAATAATGTATGTTATTTGTCTCTTTATTCGTCTCACAACTGATTTTCTAACTCAAAAAATATATATTAGATTCTAATATATAAATAATTAACAATCTTGACTATTTTATGCAAGAACCTGCTAGACCTATATTGAAATTCACACACCAAATTATACCGCGATATATACCGTCTACCGTCTATGACCCAAATTATACCGCGATATGAATTTTAGGCCATATCGCCCACCCCTACTAGAAGGCCTCTGCAACAATATTAAATCCTACATATATCATATACAGTAAAAGTGTAGTGGTAAAAACAAGAGACAATACATGACTCATGCATCACAAGAAACACTGGCTGAGTGACTGAAAGAGGAAAGTCTTATTTGCACAATGTGTCCCTTATATAATCGTATATAAGAACCATGTGTACGAAAATTCAATTATAGGGATGTGGTGGAAAACGGGTGCATAGGTTCAGCAGAAGTAATCTGTATGAAACTAGTAGTAATTACGTGTTGTATAGGTTCCAGAAGCTCTGTGGTGTTTTCTGTGTCAAAGTGGTAAAGCGCTCTATAAATAAACTCGTCAGAACAGTGTAGACTTTGATACTTTCAAGGGGGCATAGAAGTTAATAAACATACTCCAACTTTTTGAGTTAATTACGCACAGTATTATGTATGTGTTGTGGTTGTATGTGTGCAGATGAATCAAACAAAGCGCTTCTCAGTCCACATCACACAAGGCACAAATCATCACATAAAACACCAAAATGACCATCAAAAACACAATTAAAATCATAAAGGTAATAATAAAAAACATGAATACATTAAAATAATAAATAAATGTACATTAGAGCAGCTCTTTCATTGGAGGTTTTTAAATCTGGTTTAAAGACACATTTTTTTATGCCTTGGCTTTTAACACCAATTGAGCTTTAACCATTTTACTTTTTCCATGTATCTATTTTATGCTGTTTTCTTATTATTATTATGTCGTTTTAATCTTTCATGCCTGTGAAGCACTTTGGGCAGCTGGTGTTGTTGTAAATGTGTTATACAAATATAATAATGCATAGGTTTTATTTTGCACTTTTTTGGACACGCAAAGACACTTCACATGTCATTATTCATTCACTCCATACACGGTGGTGATTAACTACTACTGTAGCCACAGCTGCCCTGGGGCACACTGACAGAAGCGAGGCAACCAGTATGTGCCATCAGCCCCTCCGACCACCAACCATTCACACACACACCAGACTCATTCCGGGCAATGTTGGTTAAGTGTCTTGACACGGACACAGCGGCAGCAGACATCAGTGGGAGTTGGTGGAGAAAGACTTGTGGTGGGCTCGAACCTACAACCTTCAGGTTCAAAGACTAGTGTTCTACCAACTGAGCCACACTCGCCTTAAATAAAGCTGACATTTACATTAAAAAGAGAGGAGGTCAAATCCTTCCGTTGTATGCACAGGCAAACAGAACTGTCTTTAACCTGGATTTAAACATGGTCAGAGAAGAAGCCTGTCTCACATTTTCAGGAAGACAGTATGTGGACATATGGAGCAGGGGGAAAAAGTATGTATGTATAAGTAATGAACTCTGAATAAAATGACGTATGTGACCTGTAGAGATCCACACCTGGGCTTTCCATAATTCTAAACCAAGACATCAAACGCCAGACTGTTTACTCACACTTCTGCCCTCGCCTCCTGCAATCTGATGCAACAGTTTCAAAAAGGAGAAAAAAATGGAAAGAATTTACCAGCAATTTGTCTGAAAAGTGTTTTTTCTTATTGTAGAAGCAGAACATTATTGCCAGACTGGGTTTAGAGCGAGTCAGTTTGCTCGACAAAGAACCATCTGAATTTTACATGCCCGTAATATATCGTTAAGTTGATTTAAACTGTCGAATAAAGTCTTTTTCACTGCGCTCTGCCTTCAAGGAACTTTATTTTAGTTGGACATTTATTCAGCTGGTTTGCAATTATTTCAGCCCACAGATGTAGAAGTTGGTGGTAAGATTTGTACTTCTATCATAGCCTTGCCTTTGGCAAAACTATAAATGTGTAGATGAGAGGAGCTTGCATATTTCACTTGTTTTCACATGCATGTATTCATGCCTCTGTCACATCATTAGATCTGCTTCTTTGGGCAGAACAGTGATAAAGAGCGGACCACCCTCCCTCAGCCTCAAAGAGTGACTCACAGGACTCTTTCCCAGTATGTATAGAGTATATATGATGTACGAATGCAAAAGTGAACACATTTTCTAATAAGATCAAGACATCATCTGATTTGTTCCTTTCTGTTAGATTATTTATGAGAACAAAATATGTACAGTATATGAACTCTGCATTTAATCTGCTTCTCTTCTTGGAGATGTTTACAATGAGTTGTATGTATACATTTTTGTTTTTACATTAACTTGTGATCTTGTAAATTACATTTGTGTGTAATTCATTAAATTATTTAAATTTTATCCATGATTTCAAGTTTACAAGTCATACAGACTTGACTAACTATTTTGTTTTAAAAAAACAGATGGTGATTTGAAGAAAATAGATTGAAAGGCTTACAATGTGCCCTCTACCAAGTCGTTTTTGAAAAGCCTCTATTTTAGTGCCATACGAATAATGTTGCACCCCTTCTTGAGAAAATCCTGCCAATAACAAAACATGTTTTGTTCTTTTTTGGCACTTTTTCAAAACAGAGATATTGGCTTTTGCAAATGAACTTTTCACTCGTTGTCGTGCGTTTTCTTCCAATTCCAGGCTAAATGGAACGTTTCAAATCTTTAATATACCTTTAGTCTAATTGGTATTGTTGGTGCTGTGTGGCAGGTACTCTTCTGGTGGATAACCTGATGATTAAAGGGCGGGCGGAGGACCCCGGCCGGACCATCGAGCTCACGTTACTGGACAACACAGATTACTGGTTCCTCCTGGACCCAACCCGACAAAGGCTCTACCTCAACAGCACCGGCCGCGTCCTGGACCGAGATGTAAGTCACAGACGTCACACTGACAACATGTATGGTTAGGATGGCTCCGTGGTGGCTTGAGTCGGGCTCCACACGACATAAAGAATGTCCTGCTCTGCGCTGGATGGTACAAGGTCCCACTACTGTAAAGTCCTTTTTGTTTACTAACATTTTTCTGTAACTATAAGGGATGGGGTTTGTGCAATATCTGCTTACTAAGTAGATACTGTGGTATTGAAATGTTAGGTGGGGTTTCTGACTCCAATTCACCCATCATTACAATGAATCAAACGCTAAACTGAAGTCATTATTCATTCCCTCCTCACTCCAGTCTGTGGCGTCGGCCCCTCACCGTCATCTTCATCACCACATTTATACCAGTGAATGCTCTGGGTGGGTGTGGGGCAGGGGGGACACCAAAGTATTTCATGCACTACCGTATCATTTCATCATATACAGTATATCACATTTTGTCCAATAAAAGTTGAAAATTTTAGATTAGTAGATACAAAAAAAACACACAAAATGTTCTCTGTTCCAACAAAACCTTATTCAGATAATTATAGAAGTGTCTGCGTCATCCTGAGAGACATGAACGACAACGCCCCCATATTCCGACACCCCGGCTCTTATGTTGTTGTCAACGAGGTGAGACGCACAATCGCTTACTAATTATTATTTCTAATCTGATACACTATGTAGCTGCATGGAAGATCTATCAGATGCACTGAATTTAAAGATTAGATTATTCAAATGGTATTAAAAGTGTTCTCTGCCGTTTAAAACATACAATATAATACTGCCTGGGTGGGTGGTGAGTGGGCACTGGGGTTAAATTCGGTTGTATTGTCTGTATTCTCTTTCACAGTTTTTTTTTTTTTTTTACATTACTGAATGTTGCCCGTACTGTATATGTTAAAATGTTCAACTATGAGCCAGTATTCAGTGAGAGTTTTTGCCTGCAGCATTTGTGCATACGCCGGCTGTTGGGGCTAATAGGGCAGATCAGACAGAAACTGGAGTTAATTTCATGTGTATGGTTGCTTGATTGGTTTTTGCTGTTGGCTATTTTTATTATCAGAAGCTCAAACAGTTGTAAATAAATCAGGACTATCCAGAAAACAACTGCAGTTTGGTAAAAGTCAAAAATGGAGCAGAATTGAGCATACAGCCTCTGCCACATGTATGAAATGTGGCCTGACAGATCCTGGGGTAAACAAGACGCCCTGCTGTGCCCCATTTCATTTGAACAGTGCAGACATAAGCGTTAATAATGCAATAAATTCCATATTCAGTACAATTTGTGCTTCACTGGCTTCATATGTTTATTCAAATGGAATCACAGCGGTGTGTAAGGGCTATGATATGCCAAAGCACGTACTGTAGTTGGAACATGATAACATACATGTTCTCACTAGTGTGACAGTAATTGCTACATTCATTCAATAGGACTAAATCTCTACTGTGATTGAGGTAACAAAAGGTATGGATTCTCGGATAGAATTACAGTATTATACATATACATTATACATATATGCAATAGTTGCCTTAATGCTTGTTGTACAGTACATGTAATAACCACTTTTTGTTTTTTCTTCAGATATAAGTTACTTGGTCGATTCTTTAGTCTTCATTTTATCATTTAAGCATAAGTTAAAACATTTGCAAAACCTTAAAGTCAGTTTATTTATTTCCTGTATAGAATTATGCATACTAGTCTGTAGTCATTGTCTGCCATTGACGTATTTTTCTGAGAGCCTCTATTCGACTGGGGATTACAGGACAATAAAAACAGCTAGAAACAAAATTATTCTTACTGATGAAAGTAGACAATCCAGTCGTTCAGAATCTGGTTTCATATTTCAAATAGTCTTAGGAAATGATATTCTGTGGTATCTTGAGAATCAGTGAAATAATCAAAAACAGCTGGCAGTCAATGAGTTAAGAGCAGCTTAACATACACTTTTCATCAGAGTTTCACGGACATTTTGGCAGAAGTGAAATGAATGCTAGAAATAAATGTTTGCCACTGTGGTCGGCTATATCAGGACTTTCAAGCGACGTCGTAACAGGAGCAGATTCAAATCCACATAGTAACTTACATTACAGAAATTGGCGTTTTCTCATTTTTGCTTAAGTCTCTATTTTCATTGTGTTACATTGGGGCTGTTTGCAGACACATTGAATTATGCACAGTTCTAACTCAGATAAATTAATGTGTCAGTTTGTAAGCAAGTAAAGTAAATTTAAAATGCATAATAATTGTATTATTGTATCTTTATGCTGTGTTATTGCAGTTCCATTAAAGCTGGGGTACATAACTACCCCCCATAATTAAGTCATTAAGTTTGTCCCAACTTGAAGAGTGTGTATATGTATTTTATTTATTGTATTTTTAAAGGTGGCCGACATGTATTTTTAAACTATCTATGTGATACTTTGGGAACTTGTTTTTTAAAATGGGATATCTAAATAAAGTGGATTGGCTTAGGTACCCCAGCTTTAAATCACAGTAGTAGTTTCACCAATATCAGTTTTTTAAAGTTAGATGTGTGATATATAATAACTAAGTTTTGGTTGTAGAGCTGCGAGCCATCTTCCAAACTGCCAAAACTGTCCCCCGCCTTGGCAACGTGTCATTTACAAGCCCTGGTGATCCAAGATGGCGCCCTATTCAAATGAATGGCTTGTGCTCAGTAGCGGATGGGACTTCATGGAGACCGGGACAGTAGCAGAACTCCCCTGTATTTGGGCATCGTCTGGTCCTCCCGGTTCTGCGCAGTGGATTATCTCCCATGATGCGTCCCATGATGCGACCAATCAGAGCTGCTGATCAGAGCAGCAGCAGAGCGGAGTCAGAGCGGGAAGGAAAGGAGCAGAGTTTGTGGCATTAAATTTATTGATTTATTTATTTAAAGGGACAATGCATATTAATGAACATGTAAATGTAAATATGCCAGAATTAGCCAATGGCTACTTTCCATCTGTAGTCCCTGGCAGATCAAGAAAATACAAAGACTAATATACGACATTTAAAAGACAAAAGATCATCACACAAATCATCCACACAATTAAACTGGAGACATAAAACAAAGATACTGGTCAGTGGTTACATGTCTGATTTCCCTTCAGCCAACCTTTAAGTTTAGTTTTAAATACTATGAATGTAGTACAGTCTCGAATTTCTGCTGGGATGCTGTTCCATACCGTGGTCCCTTTCACTGACAGCACCTGTTGACTAAACGCTGTGCGTCTATAAGGAACCACACAGTCACTTCTGGTGGTGGCTCTGGTCACTCTACCACTTGTACTGGATATGAACTTAATGAATTCATTCAAGGATGGGGGAGAGAGTCCATGCAAAATCTTATAAACTGAACAAGCCATTTTAAATGTTCTAAAATTTTCAAAGTTTAGAATATTATGAATAAATGAATATGGTTTTTTATCGAATATTTTTAAAGCTTTTTTATATAGAGACTCAATTGGTTTTAAAGTAGTCAGACTCGTCAGTGACCAGTTAGTAATGCAATATTCAATATGTGAAATGAAGAAACATTTTAGCTGCATTTTCTGGCAGTAATGTTCGGATTTGTCTAAAATTACGAAGATTAGAATTTACAATTTTACACATATGCTTAACATGATTTTTAAAAGATAACGTTGAGTCTAAGATAACACCAAGATATTTAAACTTGTCCACAATCTGTAGCTCCTCACCTTTTATAAATACATTTGAGCTTATTCTTGCTTTTGGGCGTTTGGAGAAAAACATACACACAGTTTTCTTTGAATTCAGTAAAAGACAAGACTTACTGAGCCACTCATCAATGCAACACATTGCTGAAGTCAATTTTTCGGAGACTTCGGCATTAGATTTTGCATTGGTAAAAATGACTGCATCATCTGCATAAAGCTGGGTATGGAAATGTGGACAAATATTTGGTAAGTCATTAATATATAATGAAAACAGTATGGGTCCAAGTATGGAACCCTGTGGAACTCCAACCTGACAGTTTAGAAACGTAGATTTGATACCACTGACTGTCACACACAATGAGTTCGAGTTGACAGGTATGACTTCATCCAAGTTACGGCTTGTTCTGAGAAATTAAACTTTGTTAGTCTAGATAATAAAATTTGGTGGTCAACTGTATCAAATGCTCGCTTTAAATCAAGAAAAACAGCTCCAACAACAGGACAATAATCTAAACCATGTTTCACTTTTTCTAAAAACAGATTTATCGCACTTTCTGTTGAGTATTTGGCACGAAAACCAAACTGCATGGGATGCAGAGGAGTATGACCCTTGTCTAAATGAGTTCAATCAATTGTTTAGCAACCCATTTTTCAATAATTTTTGAAATAATGGGCAAAATGCTAATTGGCCGGTAATTATTTACATTATTCTTATTCCCTGACTTAAAGATTGGAGTAATTGTGGCAACTTTCCAAGCTGTTGGTACAATAGAATGTCTAATTGATATATTTATCATACGAGTGATTGGACACACTAAAATATCTTTATGAGCCTTTATAAAATTGGCATCTATCCCATAGACGTCCTTTGCTTTAGAGTTTTTCAAACCTTTTATAATTGATGCTACTTCAGTCTCATTAATTTCTGCTATTGTGAAAATAGGTAAGGACTCATTCACCGGATAGGTGACATTTTCATGTAATGTAAAAAGTTGCGAAATTTCAGAGACTGAGTCTTTAAAAAAGTTATTAAATTCCATTGCCACAGTGGCTGGATCTTTCACCAACTGGCTTTCAATTTGTAGTACTACTTCACTGTCTTTGTTGGCCCCTCTGCCAGTTATTTTATTTATGGTTTCCCAGACCTGTTTGCCATTACCATTGGCAGACTCAATATTTTTTTTCTAGCTGATGTGAATAGTTGCCTGTCTGAAATGAGTCCAGTTTTGAGAGATTTTTTAAGTAATATGTCCCTGGTCTTCATTAGTTTTCTGCATTTTTCACCAAGCCATGGTAGGTTTGATTTATTGGTTTGATTTTTCTTCAACCTTTTTGTGAAGGAAGCTATGACCTCACTGATTTTGGAGTGGAAAGTAGTACTACTTATTGAAACATCACCGCATGCAACAAGTGTGGATTTAAAGTAGGGATGTAAATCGGTGACCGTTTAACCGGTGGTTGACCGTCACAGCGTTAACCGGTCAAAGCTGTCGGTTAAAAAAGAGAAAAAGGGGGAGAGGGGAGGTCTCTTCATAACGCTATTTTAAGCCCTATTCGCACTGTGTGACAAGGGGGTATGTATCTAGCTGTGTCGCCAATGTATTAGTAAACTCCGGGCCAACTCTCATGACACACGCACCACTATGCACGCACACACGCGCGCACAGACACACTTTCCCCCCATCCATTGATACGTAACATCCACACGCATCATCTCTCCCCTCTGTTACCGCCTGCTAGTTGCACACTGGTGCAGGTCAGAACTACATTGGAGCTTACATACACACACATACATATACACACATACATGTATTGTACACACACACATACACACATACGTATACATGGTAAGGCAAGTTTATTTATATAGCACAATTCATACACAAGGCAATTCAAAGTGCTGAACAAAATAAAAAATAATTAAAATCATAAATAATCACAGAACATTAAAAATAAATCTAAAAATATAAAATCCCTCAGTTGTATGCACAGCTAAACAGAACTGTCTTTAACCTGGTTTTAAACATTGCCATTGAGGAGGCCTGTCTCACATGTTCAGGAAGTCTGCAGTACCATGTATTGGACACACACACATACCGGTCTGTCGCGCTCCTCTGTGTCACGCAGCCGAAATTAATCCTCGCAAATACACGGCTCCAGTCAAACCACATGGAGCAGGTTTGTGCTGATGGTCCTTGGCATCAGCTCCACACACATCACTTTTAAACTTTAGCGGAGACCTGTGAGACGTGTCACTCGCTGCTCTGACCATGTGAACGAGCCGTCGTTTGCTGCTAGAAAGTTTTGGTATTAACCCGCAGCACAGAAGAATGGGAAGATTAAAACAGCAGTTCTCTGTGCGCAAAGGTGCCGAAGTTGTTGCGGGTTTTGGCGCCGCTGTCTCGACTCTGATCCAGTAGAACGCAGAGCTGCACTTATGGAAAGTACGCGGCTCGCAATGGCTGTTATTTCAAAGAACGTGGACTATTTTAAACTACGCGGTTAACCGGTTTCAACCGGTTAATGAGGCTCGGTGGTTGGTCATGAAAATTCATAGTTTTTTACATCCCTAATTTAAAGAAAACCAAAGGATTTAAGAAGAAAAAAAGTTCAGGATGGCAAGGGACACTAAAATCCCCGCAAAATCCGATCTTTATGAAAGCTGTAGGTTCTCTGTCAGCTGAGGTTGTGCTGTTTTAATTTATATTGAGATCTATGGGACTTTTTTCTGGGGAGCCCTCGTGGATTTAGTCTACAGTACCACGGGCGCCCCCTGTGTCCATAGGTTGGACAGCTGTAAGCTAGTAATACCCTATCCAGTTAATTAGTAAATAATTATAAATCCATGGTCATTTATCAGCTGGTGTTACTTCCTGAGTGGGCGTGGTCAGCCTGATTGACAGACTGTCCACACCCCCTCTGTCTGTGGACATGGGACTCCATACATGGGCACCAATTTCTACTTCTATAGCTATCCTCCATCTCACCAGCCTGTTTTCCTCCCGCAGCCCCCAGTCTCGATCACTACACTCGTGGTCAGGGTGGAGTGCCGAAACCTAATCATCGGTAACACCATCCGGCACGAGGTCCGTGTCATCCTGCGAGACATCAACGACAACGGCCCCATATTCCAACACCCCAGCTATTACGTCGCTGTCAACGAGGTGAGACGCACAATCACTTACAGACTAAATCATCTCTAATCTATTACACTACACAGCTTTATGGTAAATCTATCAGATGCATTGATTTCAAAGCCTTCATACTTCTGCTTCTCTCTCTGCGTTTTGATTTGCTTGGGAAGAATCCATGGCGAAAGTTTGACAACGTAACAGGGCTCTTAATATTCCAATAGCTGCTGTTTGTATGCATCATTAACTTGATGGAAACGTAGCTTCCCTTTCATTGCTCAAATACTTTTGGATTTCGTTTTGTGCGCCAACAACTTCCTCAAAGTGTAGCACAGATCAAACATCGGTTTGTTGTTTTCCACCGATGCATGACACAGCAGCAGCTCAAATTAGTCTCTTTATCACTACTCCCTCTGTCGGACGATGATGTCACATGGGTAAACAAAGGAGGACCCGAAATGTTTGTAATTGATTTATTTGATAGGGACAAGTGTACACAATCAACATGTGAAACACTACAACATTTATAGCCAGGGCTAATTTGCAATGTCCATCCCTAGGAAGGCTTTTAACACAATTAAAACACATGTTATGTTATAAAATTCACATTATACAAAAGCAGGTCTTCTCCAACTCATTGATACTCACACAACTGGTTTGAGTTCGTGTTTAAAACCAGCCCAGTCAGAGTTCAGTTTTAGCTGAGGACTTAAAGAGTTCCAGAGCTTTGCCCCCTGGACCGAGAAGACCGACTGTCCGAATGTGGTTCTCCTGAGGGGCACTTTTGCATTCCCATTAGAGGAGCCCCGTGTGATGGATCTCAGAGGAACTATGAGAGCACTCAGGACAGCAGGGGCTCGACTGTGCGACTGTGAAATGCAGCAATGCAAATAATAATGATTGAATGACGATAATAAATGTTAGTTTTACCCTACTGATGTTTTGTTGTTGCAATAGTAATCCTGCTCTAAATGCAATTATAGTGCAAACAAATTAGTTATTTTTCCCCATGTCTTGGCTTCTGTAACGTTGGCTGATGGGAGAAGCTCAAAGCCTGGATCAATGGGTGGGAGGGATCCACTGTGATTGTTCTGGCTTGACTGCTTGACTGCTTGACTGTGAACTTGTGTCAACTTGGCTTGAGTTTTCTCTGTTTTCTTGTCTGCGTGCGTGATGTTTCCAGACAGTTATTTTTTGTCTTTTCCCGACGTAAATGGAAACCAAGAGATAATGTGAGACAACAGACGCAATGAGGGTTTGGTAGACAGTTATTAAGGTGTCTGGGATAACCTTATGGCCCCTCAGCTTTGTTGTTGTGTATGTTGTTGTGCTGGCCTCTATGTGCGAGCTGAAGGTCGGGTGGCTGTCCAGCAGAATGCCCAAATACTACTCCATGATTTGTCCATTTAGGGTCAGGGGCTCAAACAGGGGCTGCAGGGCTGTTTTTTGATGATCACTTTGTTGTGGCAATGTGCTCAATGATCCATGGAAACAGAGTTGTATTTTGTATGTGGTTTGATTAAAGTAAAAAGTATGGGATATGAACAAGCATTGCATCCACTCAATGGGCGCTGCATCAGCCTTCTCAACCACAGTGGGATTCACCCAAACTTTATCACATGGGTATGTCCCTCATTGGCCAGATGCCACAAGAAGAAACACACATCACATAAAAATAGGTAACTCAAATAAGGAAGGAAGGGGAGAGGAGCAAGAGAGAGGCTTAAGGGTTTAAGGATTTAGAGACAAACCTGCAAAACAGTCACATCAAAGGACAAAATCAATCACGTAAGCCATAGAAGCCATAACATTTTTTCCCCAGTACTATTTATATTGTGAATTATGTCCTGATTTAAAGTTTTAATTTATTTATATTGTGATATAGTGTTGTGCTCATATCGCCTGGGCCACTGGTCAGTGGTTGGTGTTTGCTACATCAAAGAGTGAAAGTAAAAGAGAGTAAAAAAAAATGCTAAAAATGTGGTAAAATGTATCTTAATTTGAACCACATTTTGACTGCCTTAAAACAAGATTTGCCAAATGGAGAAGCAAAATGATCTTGTTTTGAAAAGATACAAGAAATGTCTTCCTTGGAATGAGAAAATAAAGTAACAGTTCTTAAATTAAGACTAAATGGCTTTGTCCCATTGGCAAATTGTTTTAAGACATTCAGAATGTGTTATAATTAGGATAAAAACCACTCGATCCATGCAATTATTACCTCATGTTTAAAATAATAATAAAAAAAAAAAATCAGTGCAGTGTCTGGTATAGTGTCGTTGGAAGCCTTTACAGAGCCGGTCCCTGATAGACCTCTGTGTTTCCACCAGGTCTCTGTCAAAGTGGATCCGTTCAAAACCATTAAAGCCAAACTCTGCTGATTCTTCTGTTAACCACGTCTTGTAGAAGACAAACAGACTTTGTTTGGTGATAGTCAGGATGAATGAGTGAAGAAAAATATCAAAACAGAAATTAAACATATACACAAGACTTTTTTTGTTTGTTTCTTTGTCAATAACAAACTTCATTTCCTATTTACTATTCAAACGCCTTCAGAAACCCAGTTGCAAATGTATTTTTTTATTTAAGCCGCCGTGAACGCAGCCTCAACTGTCAGGCTGTTCCTCATATGTCGTAAAGATACATTATATTTTATAGATTTACTTAAATGTTTATTTGCTTTATAGAAGGCAAGATGTGTCATCTTTTATAGCCACTCGATTGACAAAGATGTTAGGCATCATCAACATTATAGTGTTGATGATTATGGTTCACAATTATAGAGTAGATAGATAGTTTATAAATTCATGTGTCGAGCAGCAGAAACACATCATCCGTACAAACATTAAGATTTAGAGATCCTTTATTCGTCCCATATTGGGATTTTCATAAAGACAAGGATTATAATCCCAGAGTTAAAATTAGTAACATATTTAAACTATAAAAGCCTAAAGATATAGTTCATTGTATTGCATTATTCATTAGCACATATGGTTCATTAAAAAGGGTTAAAATCATATTTAGAATTTAAAAATGTGTAATATATATGTATTTTAAATTACAATATGGTGCATGTGTAAAATTGCTTTTTCCGATTCTGTGATAGTCAGTGAAGGTCACGTGATGTCTGTATAAAAAGACGGAGAAGGTTCAAGAGATGCTAGGACATCTGCGATGGCTAACGTCGTGCTTTTATCTTTTAGAACAAAGTTGCGTGCCGTGGTTTGTCGTTAGGAAAAGCCATAGTGAGTGCAATTTGCGATAAAAGGCGGTTTCAACGCAGAGCTTGTGCTTTTAACGCGTATTACTTTGTTATTGAGCTTGTAGAAAAACAACCTTGTATCAGAGACTGTAGCTGAGGTTTTCCAACCCCGCGAACCCACAGAGCAGACAGTGGATTGTTGCGAACTGGACCACGACACGCACGGACCCCAGACAGAACTCTGAGTGCCCACGAAGCTCAGAGATTCTCTGGCTACGTGGGAAACAGACGAGACGTATTGGACCGGGTGGGACCAGATCCATGGTCCCACCTGCGCCGCCATTGACGTCACACTGTTGTCCGGAGCACCTGGAGGAAACTGCGAGGAGCTGCGACACGGAGATGAACTCGACGTATCGGTTTTGGATAAACATTTACTGTAAAAAAAACAAATAGCTGTCGAATTTTACGGTGAAATTCTGACAACTTTTGTTTACAGAACATTTTTGTAAAAAATACAGTTGCACTGTAAAGCCAATTATGGAAACTATATGTCAATGCATTTACAGCAAACAATAGTAATAATGTGATAAAGTGCACATGCTTACCCCAGACACGTCGGTTATATTGTAATACTTTGGTGTACTGAGTCAACCTTATATTAGTTTTAATTACAGAAGTAATTGCCTCTTGTCCAGGACTCTCTTGAACAAAAAGAGGTTCTTAATCTCAATGGGACTTTAAACAAAGGTTAAAAAGCCTGGTCAAAAAAAAGCCTGGTTGAAAAAAATAAGTACATGGATTTTTCACCCACAGCAGACTTGAAACATGTCAAACTCTTCCATCACTTCGCACTCGCACTTTTAGTAAATTTTCACATTTCTGCTCTTTTATGCAATTTGAAACACATGGATTTCAGTCTTGCCAACTCCCACAAACAAAACTGATTGGATGCTGCCTTCAGAATCTTCCCCAACTTTCCTCCCATCCTGTCTTTTAGTATGCGTCCAGTGTCGGGGGTGGCCTTTCCTGTGAATATTATCAGAGCTGTATACAACTCTGCCCTACAGTGAAGTGAATCATTGCACATTTCTGCCATCTTTCTTTTGAAAAATCTCTCCCCTGCCCACTGTCTTCTGAGCGGAGTCCTCTCAGGCTCCGGGGAACAGCGATGCTTTTTATTATTCTGTCAGCAGCTCTGCGTGTAATGCCTTCAGACCACTGCCGCCTGCCCTGCACCATTCCAGTTATCTGCATGTGGATAGTGAGAGGCTGAAGTAACAGCTGTATATGCAAGGCCTCTTCACTTGATAAGGTTGTTAAAAATATTGTATGTTTCTTTTGCAGCTCACACCAGTTGGATTAACAATATACTCTGGCTTTGCTGGACAAAATGGAGCAGTGGACATTGATGATGGACCCAATGGACAAGTGGAATACAGCGTGCTTTATAACCCCAATGACACAGTGAGTCAAGTTCTCCAATTCCAGCACTAATGTTTTTTTCTAAAGTATTATGAAAACTTTTTTAACTTTGTTGAAGTGTATGTCAGTAACTTTTCAAATTGTGAAGAAAGAGTTGAAACCAGCACTAATCAAACCCCCCACTCTGCTTTCTGATTTGTCGAAATGATTCAAAATTCTTGAGGCCCCTTGTCATTGGTTGACCTGTTGGCCTCTTGCAAAACTGTAGTTGGAAGAATGCGCCCTGTGAATCACTACATGACGCGTTGGGCTGAGAGCTGATCGGCCGAGTGTAGGTGGTCCTCATTTTTCTGACTGAAAAAGCTGATCTAGAAATGCAACAGAGGCCAAAAATACATACATGTCAGACCCATTTCATACCTTTTGAAGCTAAAGCAGGGTAAAGCCTCAGAGTGAAAGATTAGTGGTGATTAGAGGGGCTGATGGGACATTTTTTCCTCGCTTCTGTCTGTGTGCCTCAGGGCATCTGTGGCTGCAGTAGTGACTTATCAGCATCGTCAGAAAATTTCAGTGTCCAAAAAGTACACACACAAAAAAAAGAATCATTCAATCAATTCAATCAATCTATTATTATTTTCAAGATAGAGTTTTTATACTTATTTTAGATGCTAAAGTTAGAGATTTTGCTTTATTTTAATTAGGACAGCTACTGTTCAGGTAATGTGTGCTGTGTGCTCCTCTTTCCTACTGTTCTATTACTTGTGATGCAACACTGAAATTTCGATAGCTCCGTGAGTGCGAGGAGGGGGAGCTGAAAGAGCGAGGACAGCGCTCACATTTGAAAATTTCACAAAGTGAGTTAGTGCAGCTTTAATCATGCTCAAGATTGAATCAAGATTTAATACAAAAGTTTTGTACAAAATACAAACTCCTCCTCCCACATGATCTCCAGAAAAGCTTGTTCTTTCTGTTTCGTGTGCTGTTTTAAACCCATTAATCATCTCCTGACTTTTTCTGAGTACATACGGTGCTAAATCACTTTCATTATGCTGTGTGCAGATTCTCAACAATTTTTATTTATGTTTTTTCCCGTGAGTTATTTGATAGAGGAAAAAATATGTCGCACAATTAAAATAAACAAGTCTAAATCTTCTTTCAGTGTAATGTAATTGCCTCATGTGCTGTGTGTGTTTGTCGATGTGAGCGTGCTTGCGTGTGTGGGCTTGTGTGTGTGCGTGTGTGTGCGAATGTGTGTGTGCGCTAGTGGAGCCCAGCTTACTGCGGTGGAGAAATACACTTCTGAAGTCAAGAGATGTAAACAGACTCATATTCATAATATTCAAAACGTATAGTACACAGTTTCTTCCAGAAGCACTGATATAGTCCAACTTGTTTGAGGTAAGATCCAGTGTTGTTTTCTTTAAACGATGTAATCGTGCATCTGTAGTAAAACGAGTAAAACCAGTGAACATAAGGATCAGGCTCTAATAAGAGGAGATTGGAGCTGCTGAAGTGTTTCTCAATATTGAGAGAAATACGTTCCGTATTTTTGCATCAAATTGACTCACTGACATGGTGGAGCATGCAGTGGATTTTTTTCTTAACTCAACTATTGAATCAAAATGCTCAATGAATATCTACTGTGCTATAGATTAGGAAAAAGGAGATGGGGAGAAAGTAGCGGCGACTGGAGCAGGAGGGGGAGGGGCTAATGTTTACAGTGTCTCACTTAAGACTTAAGAATAACCCTTTAATGTTCACTCTTTGAAGAAAGCCATGCACAAAACATGTGTTTTGGATTTTCTAAGATGTGCATGTTTTGAACCCCTTGTTTTTGAATTCTAGGCCTCTACAAAATGCTTGAGATGCAGTTTGATGGTAAAAGTTCCTAAAACCAAGTGATAGAGATTCCTCAATGGGGTGGATTTCAGTTCCAAGTTTCAAGTATGTAGTGCCTTAAAACTTCTTCCGCCAAATGGTTTAGGAAACCATTGAAGGGTTAAGGGGAAATTTCAAGATTGCATCACCGGTTACAGAACCGTAGGAATGAGAAGCAGACAGCACAAGATGAGTAAACAATAATAAAATACATTCTCTAGCTTTAGCATAATGAAGAAGCAAATCTAAAATCTCTAACTTAAGCATAATGAAGAAGCAAGAATGAAGTATAGAATGAAAGACTTTAGCCTGATAAGAAGTAACAAAAAAGTCTCTAACTTTAGCATAACAAAGAAGGAAAAATAACATACTGTATATTCTAGCGCAAGAAATAATGTGTAATATGTTATCATTGAATAGTTGGACAAAATGAATCTTCCACCAATCACTTGATGCTAAATGCAGTTGTTGATGAAAGTGTTTTTTTTTATCTTGCAGGACTCCAACGACACCATACGTGTCGCCAACACGCTCTCGGGGCACATAGCGTTGAACAGAAGACTGAACTACGAAGAGAAAACTCGCTATCTCGTTCTAATACAGGCGAATGTAAGTTTTCTCACGCTTTATTCCTTATATATATTCATTCATTCATTCATTCATTTTCAAGCCCTTTCTGTCCATTTCTGGGTCAGGGGGGTGGCAATCAGAGCCGCCCCCCAATGCTCATAGCACCAGTCCCAGGGGGTGAGTCCACAGGAAGATGGCTGCTCTGTCAGTGGTGAAACAGCCTTGGTCTTTCAGGGGGGCTTCAGGTCCTTATATATATATACAATTTATTTTCATTGTGGACATGACAACGCATCACATATTCTAATTAAATTTCAAATAATGACAGGACAACAATTATTATCAAATCTTAGGTTGCCTGCCTCGTCTAAAACAAGTACAAATGAAAGAAAAATAAGAATGATAGACTGTAGCGCTCCTTCAAACTGTATTTTTTCCCCTTTTTCTTAAAATTATGATTATTATTTATGAATACATTTATGTTCTCTTCTTTTCTTTTGATAATTGATTTCATATGATTTCATTTGTTGTTGCTTTGATTTGTTTCTTAAACCTGTAGATGATTCTAGTTGATTCCACAGTTTTTCTTTGAGCACTGATTTTTCTTGGTGGTTCTGGCCAAAGGGACAGAGAAGTGTAGCTTCCCTCTGCTTTCCTGGTTGGATTTTGACTGAGAAAAGCTTTTGAACAGCTATTGCATATAAAACATTCTCTCTAGTTCTGTCGAAAGGAAGCGTTTACCACATAGATCTGATTGATGTGGATTAAGACCTGGCTCCACCAATAACTCAGATATGGATAACTTTTTGATATTGGTTGTGGACAGCGTGTGTTTAATTCTAAGTAGTATTATTCTCCATGATCTATATTCTCTATGATCTGATGACTGCTGCCGTTGTGTCCCTGGGCAAGACACTTAACCTCACTTTGCCTGAAGTCCCCACTGAAAGACCAAGGCCGCATCTGCATTGAAGAAACAGCCATCCTCCTGTGGACCCACCACCTGCAGGAGGATCAGTGAGGGACTGGTGCATTGTGTATTGGGTGGCAGCTCTGATTGCCACCCCCCTGACTCAGAAATGGAAATAAAGGGATGAAAATGATGATGATGATGATGATGATGATCTATATTCAAATTCTAAATATTCAAAATGTATAATAATGAACCATTGGGGTTGACTCTATACTTTCTCTACTTTGAAATGTGTGGAATGCGGCACAGGGACCTGACTCCTGCTTGTTCCCTGAGTCAGGACTAAACATTGGGAGGCAACAGTTCAGATTTATGTACAGTAAAAGTGCAGAAATTCAATATAAAACACATAAGACAGATCATAAAGTTTCATAAGTTTCCTTGTCTCTCCTGGTCTCTCCTGGTTTGCGGGTGTTTCCACCGGCTCACTTTTGTCACAACCCGGTACATTTTAACAGCTCTGCCCTGGTTCTAACCGGGCCGAGTATATACAAAAACAATATGACGTTGGCGAATGTCAGTTGTGATTGGTCAGAGGGGCTGTCAATCACTGTTCAGCTGGTGTGTCAGAACACACAAAAACATAATAACGGTTGCCTCAAGTTTCCTGTTGATAAACCAACTCCAACTCCAGCATGAGCTCGATGGTGCCGAAACCAGAAGGTGCTTGTGGAGGTAGCACTAATGCTTGGAGGAGAATGGATACCATCAGAAAAGTTCTCTGGTCATACACCAGTCTGTGGTGTCTAAAAACAGCTAAAGCAGTGTGTAGTTATGTGTCTTATTTATACAGGTATCTTTCACTATACGCTGTTAGAGAGTGGATAATGGGTTCATGGGTCAATAAAGACATTTGTTGTGTTTTTTGCTGAATGCTGGGTTAAAACTTGTGTAAATGTTCTTGGTTTTATCTACAAAGCATCCCTCCCCCCAATCACCACGCTCCGCCTTAATAATTAACGGAGCCAGGGCGACTCGACTCGCTAATCGGGTAGAGCCGGTTGGAAACGCAGCTTTAATCTCCTTTAGTTTAAAACAGACAAATTAAGGCGGAGAGGAAGCTGAATGTGGCCCTTTTTGTTTTGAATGGGAGGAACCTGTACCTTTGCCCTGACGGAAGCAGACTGTAGTGTGAGTGGCAAGTGTGGGAGCTGTCTTTGGAGATCTGGGAGCCTTTCCTCAAAAATTTGTTATTGTAAATAGCTCTGAGTTTTGCTGCTGTCCAATTTGTAATAGTCCAATTACTAGACAAAAACATGTACTATGCAAATTTTCTCTTTGGTTGTTTTGTTTTACAACTTTTTATGTCAACACAGTATTCACAATTAAATAGAATCATGTAGCATTTTAATCGCATATGAATATTTGACCTGAGAACAGTGAGAAGTAATTGGATTTTTAGTTTACCATTGAATAATGACTGAATACATAAGCTTAAGCAACACATGTTAATTGTGGATGATAAGGGGATCAGACGGACTTCTTTCCCATCCAATAACGATTTTTGTCATTGCCTCCACATTCTCTGACAACAACAGATGCTTTTTATGGCCAAAATCCTCTGCACTTACAGTGAGCACTGAAGCAGGACATGCACTGTTTGCTAAAGCTTTTATAATACGTTTTTGATGTATACATTTGGACTAGCAATAGCCGCTCACACCTGTGTCTCGCTCCTCCTCCTCCTCCTCCTCCTCCTCCTCCTCCTCCTCCTCCTCCGCCTCCTTCGCCTCCTCCTCCTCCTCCTCCGCCTCCTTCGCCTCCGCTCAGGAGTCGCTCGCTGCTCCTCCTCCTACACGCAGAGTCCATCGCTCCATACACAGCGCTCATTCCCCTCCCGTCTCTTACTCACTCAGGTTTAGACATCGCTAAAGTTGGTCAATGCTTGTAATAATGTACTTTTGAACAAAAAAAGTCACGGAGCTCAAGAATATATATATATATATATATATTCTTCATATTAGCATAATTGATTTATTCTTTTCACCGCTAATGAGAAGATGAAATGCAATCGCTGAAGATGAGCCACATGCAGTATTTATGCCAAGTAGTTCATTTTCTCTTCCTATAGCATTGATTCTCCATAAGCCCAGCCTTAATAAGAGCTCTACTGTCTGCGAGTGCTGGCTTTGGCGCATGATCAAAGTCCTACATACATCCTGCAGATGTGAAGGGCATTTAACAGCGGGACTGTACAGCTCACAGCCAATCTTCATTTCCTGCAGGACGAGTGGTCCTCCAGCAGTGGCCAATCAGAGCAGAGAATGGCAAAATGTGTGCTCTTTACCACTGGAGTGAGTGTCAGTGTATGAGGATGCTCACAATGTGACTGCTTGAAGTGGCAGGCTGATCACTTGTCTGACTGCGGCTCCAGAAGGCCCTGGTATTGTCATAGTGAAAATTACCATTATATACAAATAAGTCTTAGGTAAGGTAAGGAAAGGCAAGGCTGGTTTATACGTATAGCTCACTTTATACAAAAAGGAACTTCAAGTGCTTAACAAAACAAGCTATAAACATAATAAATGGTCGTGGTACATTAAAGGGAAGATAAAATATGAAAACCCATAGTTGTATGCACTGCTAAACAGAACTGTATTTACCTGGATTTGAACATTGTCAGAGTAGAAGCCTGTCTCACATTTCCAGGAAGACTGTTACAGATTTTAGTGGCATAAATATGACATGCTGCCTCCTAATTACTAATAATTAGCAACAGTAACTTTAATTGCATCAATCTCACAATATAATTAAAGAATGTATTTGTAAGACGGTATGGAACAAACTGTGTCCATGATCCCATTTATTTCAGGTCTCTGCTTTAATTTAAATCTTTTCTTCTATCCCAAACCCTTATACATGTTGGGCTGTTTTTGAAGAATGAGAATAAAGACTCATTCAACCACAACCATAATTGCTGCACTGATAACATTTATACCATGTGGCAGTTAAAAAGCCAAAAGTATGTTCTCCTTTTTGTACAATTCTCCTTTTGTCTCATGTCCCGCGGCAGGTATGTGACGAGAACAATGTGAGATGATGGATGTACAATTTAACTTTAAAATTCATAGTACAATTTCTTATTGTTGTTCCATAAACTATTCCCCCTATTGAGACATACATGGCTCAAAACTGAACAATGTATTAAGTTTGAAATGTATTCACTTGAAATGTATTCACTTTGGTTATCAAATTCAACACCACGCACACGCCCAAAAGCCAGAAAGCCCAAAAGCCAAAGTCCATTTTCACAGTCCATAGACAGTCCATTTGACACTTCCTCTCGACCCCTCCTCATGTTTGGTTATGACCTGAAATGTCCACTCTGTTCCTGTTTCGAAACTCTTCTCTGTCTGCGTTTCCGACGCCAGACTAGCAGCAAGCCGTTCTCCAACAACGACACAAAGCTGAACTTTCAAGTCGCAAATGTACCAAGATGTCACCTTCAATTCTCACGTCCATTTAACTTGAACAAACGGCCAGCGCCCTCCGTGGGCCTGCGCGCTTTGATCTTTGCAAATCGGCCCGTGATTATTTGTCAGCAGCTTCCGGTGCGGGGGGGGGGGGGTTTGTGTGGAGGGTCGTTTCGTAGGTGTCGATGGCTGTATGGAGATGGCGATGGGGTGGGTTTTCTGTCCCACAATGGAAAATAGGTGGATTTTGTTGCTTTGAAGCTTTGGCAGGGGTGTGGCATTTTTCTCAAAAACAAGAAGCACATTTGTTAATACATTTCAGAATCAAAACATAAGGTGAAGGGTAATTCTAAACCAAGAAAACTTTGACAAAGGAAAACGAAGAGGACACACAGAACAAAGAAGGACACAGACAAACAAAGAAACACATGGCCGGAGGACAAAGGACCACATGGCCACCCAAAATGGCGGTCTATCTACTTTTTGCAATGTCCAATTCCAAATTTTGAGTAATTAGAGGTCTTTAAACATCTAATTTCAATTTAGCTTATTTAGATGTCTATAAATGTCCAATTTCAGTTTAGAAGTAATGTAGAAGTTCAGTCCGAAGTAATTCAATTCTAACACATTCATTATACAGGCGTAACTCTGCGTTACCCTTTTGAATGAAACCCCGTTCATTCGAGCTCTGTAAAAGTCCTTGACTAAAGGCATAACTCTGCGTTATCCTAAATGAACGCCCCGTTCATCGAGCTCCACACTACTCTCTTGAATTAGTCCCGGACATAATTCGTAGTGTAATAAAGTCCCAGACTCAAGCATAATTTCTGCGTTTTCCTAAATGAATGTGTTCATGTGAACTTCACACTACTTCCTGGATTACTTTTGGACATAATTTAGAGTGTACAGAACTTGCCTTTGTTGCGATTTCATCAGGAAAAAACTGTAGTTCTCCCGTCGACTCCAACCCAGGGCTGTCCTGCCTCAAACCTGGAGTTCCAATGCAGTTCCGAGTGCAGAAGGCCTTGTTGTTGCTCCTGGAAGTCCATGTTTGAGACAAGCTCAGCTCCTGTAAGAAGTGTTGGGATCCGGATTCGAAGGACCAAGTGATAATGCTGTTTCAGCTACAGTTGAACCTGATGAAATCTCACACAACAAAGAGACAAAGTTAATCTTTTACTTGTTACATTGTACAAGGAGAATGTCTTGACAGAGGCAAGGCACAGACCCCAGCCTCTCTCAGGACAAGTCTGAAGATTCACAGATGGCAATTCCCTTTTGCTAGAACAAGACACACCTTCGTATGCAGATGGGAAAGGAAGAAACCAACACAACAAAAGACACTTAGCATATGAGCTCCCCAGACCTCCCGGTGTTTTCCTGGAGCTAAAGTGAATTACAATACAGAGCATTCAGCACATAGCCACATATGATTTCCCAAAATGATAACTTAAGTTACATTCCAATATCATATAATATAGTTATATACCTGATTTTGAACCACGTTGTTAATGTTGTTGCCCACTGCCATGTTTAGTTTTGTGACAATGAAGTTGAACAACTCTGCGCAGTGACGTAATATTGACAGTTTGCTGACTGCTGAAATTTGTATTCTCAACGAATAAAATGCAAGCACACAAAAATATTGTATTCACAAGTATACAGTACAAAATCACACACAGTGTTATAGTTTTTTAATCTTAATTACACAATTCCATGTCTTTTGAGTTTGTATTATCTTAATCATAAATTAATAAAATATTTTTAGGCGCAAATACCTATAAATATGCACACATTTTTTTCAGACATGTAACCTTACCCCATAAGCTTTACCCATTTCTGCAAGGTTTTTTTTTCAGTTTGAATGTTTAGCACCGTCCACCAACTCGCTCACAGGCTTCTCATTTCCCATACGCTCTCCTCCGGGGCCATCTTGTTTTATTTGCGATAACGATACGTATGCTAATGTTTGCATTAGCGCAACTTCTTTTAAGCTGTACAACAATCACTGATAAAATGGAACAAAAGCGACGCACTGCTTACACAATATAATAATTTGCAAACTAATGAAATGCAGAAACAATGCAAATGGCTATTTACATTAGATTCATGCTGATAAGGAATACAATTTATAAAAAGTTGAGGGGAGGGGCGGGGGTTCTAATCTGAATCTGGTTTAATTAATTTTGTGTGTGTTGGTTGGTGTGTGTGTGTATAGGTCAATGCTGGATATTACCACAAAAGTGTTAGGAAAATTAGTTATTGATGTTTGTAACAGTGTGAGGACTTTTCATTGTTTTATTTTTGTTATTGGGTCCATGTAATGGTGTAGTTGTGATTAATTAAAACTAGGTGTGTTATGGGGCTTATTGGACAAAACAAACTTACTGTACTCTTAAATATGATCATTTCTTCACATGATATTGGTCTGTCCGTGAGGGGTCCCAGAGAACAACATTACTGCCCTTGACACACAGCTCCTCTCCTCTTCCAGGACCGCGCTGGCTTCGGCCCCAACAGGAGGACCGCCACCACCACCCTGACCGTGGACGTCCTGGATGGAGACGACCTGGGCCCCATGTTCCTGCCATGTAACCGGGTCAACAACACTCAGGACTGCACGCCTCTGACTTACCACGTGGCCATCCCCGAGTTCACCGATCCGGTAAGAGTCAGGCCTCCACTCCTTCCTCACGGGTGACCTCTGTGTGTCCCAGGCTTCAGACAAAGAGCTGTCAAGTTTTAGTGGGTGGGACACTTGGATATTACTGCAATAGTTAGTGTGTCTTGTTAGTAATAACTATAACGGCTGCAGATAATACGATTAATGGTGTTGAATTTAGTCTTAGGTTCATTTGCACCTTAGATAGATAATAGTAGCTTTGAATAAAAAAAGGCAGAAAAACATTAATCTTAAACAATGGTTTGGAGTACATGAAATTGATTTTTTTTTGCATGGATATTTCTTTTTTTCATTTTCAACCCATTGGGACACCCTGCGTTTGACAAAATAGATATGCATAAGCAGGCAGCACTTTCAAACATAAAACCATTTAACCAAGATTTTTTTTTTCTTAGGTTTGAAGCTTAATTTTTCCAACGGTAGACAAGTAATGTTGGACTGTGAATTTAATCATCTTTTATTCAACCCTATTTTTAATGAATTAAGGGTTGTTTTTTGCAACCCTTAATTCATTAAAAATAGGGTTAAATAAAAGGGTTTAAAATGATACATGGAGTATAGTGCACATAGTTCAAAACCATTGGGGGGGCACTGAAAATGCTGGTCGGTAAAATTGTCCGTCCACTTGTAAATGACACAAGCATTTAGAATGTATTGTAAAGGCTTTCCTAAAGAAACAGGTAAAAAGTATTCTTGGGTTTCATTAAACTGGCCAGTAGGGGGCGAATGAGCAGAGGTGGGACAACTCAGTTTTGCCCCCATTGAAAACCATGTAAATCTTGTCTGTTTTGGAGTCAAAAGGCTCTCATCCTGTGAAGTGTACGGTTGTTGTAACGGTCTTAATCGGGAGGGGGACACTCAATTCCAAGGGAGTACTAAAAAATATTTCTCATTTTTGGAAAACATAACTGAATAAATTGCTGCGCTTCATTTGGATGGCCTGCATTCGGGGGTGCTTATCTCGCACAAACTTGATATCGCAAAAAAATCAACTCGCACACGGGATATGACCCGTATTGTTTGGCAACGTCTGAGTTTGAATACAGAATGGAGGATTTACCACCGGTGGAGGCGATGGACATCATCAACTACCTGTTGCTAGAGACGTCCTACTACACTGCGACACAAAAATCTGGAGGCATTTAATTATTTTGTCTCGGGTTGGGTCAACAATCTAGGGACAAAAGAAGCGTTGAATGGTTGTCGCCTTTTATTTGTTCGGGGGAGTAACTTTTATCAGTTGCGGCGTTAAGATAGCTATTTTTGGCATGCATATTTAGGCTAAGGCTAATTACTGAGACACACAATGTATCTTTCAAATGTAAAACCACATATGATTGTCAAATCTTGATGTTGTCTTTGCATCTGCATGTATTGGTTTATTTGATTGGGACAGTGCATGTTAAGTGACAAACATGATATCAAACATACAAGATATTTGTATTTGTCAAAATCGATTCAAACACTTAGTCCAAGTCAAATTCGATTTAAAATATTTGCGCTTTTTATTCTACTATATCTCCGTGTATATACCCGTCAGACTGCACCGCCAGGGTACGTCACGTCTGGTCTTATCCAACGTATGTCATTCGCGCCACTGCCCCGACATCATATGAAACCCAAGAATTTCACAATAAATACATTTAAAAATGCCAAATTTGTAAGACCTTATCGCGAGTGATTCATTCACACAATCTACACCAGTTTGTTTGGATTTGCCCTTTCTCTGCACCCACCTGAACCTGTAGTAGGACGGGACAACCGGTGTGGAAAAAAACTACGCAAGCAACGTACCATTGCGTCCCTGCGCTGAATGCAAACCAGACGTTGCACTTGTATTGTCCTTTAGCAACTGGAAAACCTCTCGTAGCACTACACAGGTATTATTCATTCTCCCCACACTCAGCACAAGTGAGCCATTTACGTAACCACATCTGCTGCGTGTGGACTGCCAATACGCACCTGTCTGACCAACCACCAATCACTCACTCACCACCGTCGCAGCCTGGTCTCGTCCAAGGACACAAAGGCCACTTGAGGAGTGATACAATTGATGGCTGCCCTGTGCGGTTTCTCTTTTTGGCGCCACATGCAAGTAATATGTTATGATTTGATTAAACAGTGGACCTCCTACAGTGGCACACTTCTGTATACGCACTTACTGCTAATGTATCGGATATTCAAAGACTCATTATTCATTCACTCCATACTCAGCGCCGATAAATGACTATTTTAGCTACAGCTGCCCTGGGGCACATTGACAGCAGGGAGGCAACCAGTATGTGCTATCAGCCCCTCCCACCTTATTCTAGGCAATGTAGGTGAAGTGTCTTGCTCAAGGACACTATATACAACAGTAGACCACTTTACAGCTGCAGGGGTTCCCAGAGGTCTCCCATCACAGTACTAATCAGGCCCTGCCCTGCACAGCTTCAGAGGTCTGATGGGATCTGGCTTTTACATGCAAGTATGACCACATGCTGTAACCTAATCTGTAACTGTTTGTATTAAACTCCCACCACTTAACGCTCAGACTCCCACAAGTTGTTTAATATTAGGAGTCATTTTGATTGCTCCTATTCAAACCAATAGGATTCTGAGAAATTCCCCCACCTAGATGTATTAAAAGTAGTTTGTCTTTACTCAGTTTTACTTTTATTTCATTGAGATTTTAAAAGGGGGCTATCCTTATTAAAAACTTTTCTTTTTTTTTTTGATAAAACACATTAAACACATGTATTTCCCACCTTTGCAATGTGTTTTTGTATTATAGTTAAGTCATAAATCAATGAAATAATGTTTTAATATCAACACCTCTGATTGGCCAGAGAAATGATGACGTACTTAGAGCGGTCGCAGCTCCCACTTTACTGTTTATGGCATTGCTCCTGCTGCCGCTTTGACACAAATAAACCTTGAAATGGGTGTATTTTGCATGACCCCGGGATGCAGCAAAGAAAGTTACCAAAAGAAGAGTGTAATTAGCAGTCCGTACGATCTTTGACTTATTCAGAGAAGGCGACGGTCCAGACAAACTGAGAACCAACGCGAACCAGCGCGAGTTCCATGAAATTAGTTCTATCAAGCTCCAACTAAAACAATTTTACGAGTTTCAACCCAGTATTCAGCAGAAAACACCGCAACTGTCGTTGAACCATGAATCCATGTTTCACTCCAACTACGTTTAGTAAAAGATACAGATATGACACATACCATCATGTTTTAGACTTTAGAACCACGGACACGCTCAGAATAAGACCATATGTTTGCATTTGATAGAAGACACTCACCATTTCTCTCAAACTCAACATCTGGAGCTGGGACATAGAGTTGAGGCTTCTCTCTCGGTGTTGCGAGTATTGATGTGTTAGCTGGTGTTAGCTGATATCCATAAAAATAATTCATCTTGTCAAACCACCACTTTTCAGTTCTGTCCACTTTAGGATCTTTCATTTCACGGTAGTCACTTTTACGCTTCTTAACTTTTCTCTGCACTGCGATGTCCGTGATATCCATCCCTTCGTCCCTAGCGCTACCTTCGCTAACACTTATCTACACTCACTCGGGTGGACCATCGAGCTCAAACTGACCGCATCCGCAAACGGGGTCGAGATGGGTCGGACCCGGTCGAACCATAGATCCATGACTCCAGCCCGTGGAAATGGCCCTAATGTCCTCAAATGTTGAGTTCTTCAAGATTGCTCCTCATCTGAACCGAGTCAGAGTCCTCAAAGTCAGAATTACTGTCATAACAAGTATGCAAGGGCTTATAAATAAACACCCCTGACTTGTATTGTCCATCACTGAATAACATATATCTGTTAAAAGTGAAAACATCCGTATACAACGTTATGGCTTACAAATGCACATCAACAAAGCCCAAAGACCCCTACGTGTATGTCACTTCCGGTCTCGGCAATTTTTCCGCAAATTTCTTTTTGCATGATAATTATTGATAGAAACCGCTAAGGGTGAAACTATCTGTCATAATGAGTTTTATTAAACAAAAAAAATACCACAATATACCAACCGATAAGAAGAATAGGTCCCTTTTAAGTCCAGATCCAGATGTCCTCACTGACTCTTAACTGTTTTTATAATCTGTGAATTTATGTAATTGTATGTAACTGTTGCTGCCTCTTGTCCAGGACCCCATGGAAAAGGTTCTCATTATTCTGGTTTAATAAATGTCAAATAGTGAAAAAAAGCCAAAACAAGTGAATATAACCACTTAAAAACCTTTGACTAAGGGCTAAAGACCAAATGCTTACTGCTAACAACAAACAGTGAGTTGCTATGGTCACCAGCTCCCGCTCTTCTGGACCAGCCAGAACCAGGACCAGGAAATGGGGGCTTAAAGGAGCAGTATGTAAAAATCTGGCCAAAAGTGGTGCTGCAGTCACAGTCAATATTTTGTAGTCCTTTCCCACTCTCCCTGACTCAGGTTGCCAGATACACACCAAATCCAGCAGCAAACACAAGGAATTATTTTATCAGTGATTTGTCTGTCTCTTACATTGCCATGATAGCCGTGCTGATGTTGAATGAATGTTTAAAAAAAAATAATATTTGGACATTTGGAATGAAAAAAACAAAATACAAGCTATGTAATTATACATAGATTATGCTAAATAAATAAGCAATTGATGTCCAAAATAGGAGTGGGAAGAATGGATGTTGGAACATATTTCTTCAGTGTATCAACATCAGGGTTTACTCCAGAGGATATCACCCTTCAATTTTATTTTGTCCCTATTTTTTTGACATGTATAAGTCCCACATCAAACGAGACTAACATTATTTTAATTGGGGTACATGTGGTCTCAAATGATTATTTTTACAATTAAGCTATAATCTGCAAAAAGCGTCTTCATTATAGTCTATAACCGTTTTATGAGTATTCACATAGAATGTAATATATAAATAAATACAAACAACTTTCGAACAGTATAATCGAGGTATGTATTTCAACTGTCAAGGCA